TTTACTGCTGTTGCTTCAGGCTGTTTATTTTTCCCCACCAGAATTACCTGGCTGCTTTGTTCCAGCCAAGATAGCATATCCAACAGCTGCCTATTGAAACTCTTATCTGGGCAGTGAATCGGAAATTTGCTTAACTGGGCTATTTGGTTTCAGTATGTCTGTATAAATGTAGATGGCTATGAACGTGTATATGCTGTATGGCTGGATTTTAGAAACGCTCTGTGTATTTTGATCTATACTTATCTCTTCTGATATACCCCACTTTGAAGAGCTCAGGACTTCGGTAAAACCAAAATCCCATATCTAACCTGAAGTATTCCTGAGATGACAGACTGTTCATTACCCAAACAGTGCTATTTACTTTCATTTCTAAAGAGATTTATTTTCATTGAATTGACCAAAAAAGCTACGTATTCTGTATACTAAATTATTTTTAACAAAAGTTTCAGACAATGGGAATTGTTACTGAATTACTGTCATTGGCAAAGGCCTTGAAAACGTGTCATTTTAAGATGTAATCTGGTTTATATTTAAAGGCTTTTACTTTCCACAAAAGGACTGTGGCTGTTTAACAACCAATGGGCAGCTCAGCTCCACCGTGCTGTTCTTTCTCTCTTCTTCTCCTCAGATGAACAGGGAGAGGAAATGTGATGGGGGGAAAAAAGCAAAAGATGCAGGTTGAGCAGTTTAATTACAGGAAAAGGGAGGAGGTTTAAAAAAAAAAAGTTAGCTCCTTCCCAGTCAGACCCAGTACAAAGACATATATAGCTTCAACTAAATATTGTTTACCTCATTATTAATGAGATAAAGAAATTGACTTAGTGTTTTATCCATCCAAATGTTTTCAGCATCATCAGAATTACTTATTTTTCACAAGTAACAAAAAATTGGGCTTGGTTTTTCAGATCAGTTGTCATCTTTACCATTAAAAAATCTCACATTTGTATCTTTATGTAAATACTTCAACAACATCTCTAGAAGAATGTGGGCACTCCTAATTGTCCTCATTGTTCATCTTTCTTCTGCTAAACCATATCATTTTTGAGACGGAGTTCACTTCTGCAAAAATGCTTTTTGAAATATGGTACAGGAGACCTTGACCTCAGGTTAATAACCTTTGTATTCAGTCTACATCATAATCTTGACTGCATGGAAATAATTTTTGTCTGGAATAATTATATACTCAGTTATTTTGATTTGTGTTGCAGTTATGTTTAACAGTATAAGGCATGCACCAGGCTCATCATGTTTGGCAAAATACAGATAAAATTAAAAAAAAGTCTTTCCTCCCTAATTCATTGCTGCTGTCAGATTTCTGATAGGGAAAAACAAAAGAAGGAGGAAGAAGGATCGAATGGAAGAATTACAACAAAATTATAGGTTTTGTGATGAAACAATTTTTACTTAGTCAACAAGTTCTACTTCTTTCGTTTTGCGGTCTTTTAATTATACAGAAAAATGAATCAGTGGAAAGGACAATTATATTGAGAAACTGTAATTAATTAAAGCTGAAAAGAAGTACTGATGTAGTTTTGTTCCCCAATTAAAAAAAAATCTGAAATTTAGTCTTTTAATTCGTCTGTCTCTTAGAATTTTCAAAATATTTTTTTTTTCCAAAAACAATCACAAATAGCGCTCACATTTTAATTCTGGTTTCACTAGGTGTTTGTTACTTCTTAAGTCTCCTTAAACTGAGGCAATGTGTATATTTCAGTTAAAATATTAACTCGCGTTAATGACATTTTTATATGTTTCAGTGGATCAGATGTTCTGGGAAGTTATGCAGCTGAGAAGAGAGATGTCACTAGCAAAACTTGGCTACTACAAGGAAGAACTCTAAATCTTTTTACTCTTGCGCATGCATGAACTTCATTTAATATACATAACTCTAAAATTTCGGAATCTTTTTTTGTCACTTGATATTTATTTCCACAAAGTGGGTCCAAGATCTTTCTCCTTTTGCAGATTGCACTAAGAAGTACTGTGATTGTTTTAAACTGACCTATGCTGTATATGCGTACATAATATCTAGTTGAACAAATGTGGTAAGCACTTGCAGGTGTATTAGTGATTGTAATTTACATTAAAAAACAAAACTTCTGATTAAATAAATGTTAGTCTGAAGCAGAATCGGTTGTCTGTTCTTTGTGATGCAGAATGTTGTGAACCTCCCTGGAAAGCTAAGTAATTCCAAACTGACACTGAGGTGATTTTATGATGAAGGCATGAATGTCTGGTATTTTCCTCAGTGTAGTGTTTAGATGCATGTATGTATCTTCTATATGTATGTATGCCGATACAGTTAACAGATAATTAGGAGAACTTGATATTCTTGCAAGTGCTGCTTCCCTATATTTTTTTTTGTTTGTTTTTAAAGCAATAGAAGAGAATTGTGTACTGTGAAGAGTCAGCAGCATAATTGGGCTGTCCTCTCTCACTAAAGTAGGATGCTTTTCAGATATCAAGGAACAGTGAAGTTTCCTTGGTCCCTCTTTGGCTCTTATTTAGACAAGTTAGAAATCTGGCCTGACTCCTATCTGACTACTAAAAACTTTCTTTCCCTCTAATTTGCTCTCATTAGAGTTTTAAAGAAATTAAAAAAAAAATTCTTCTACTTTTTTGAAATTTCCAATTTCTCTGTTTTATACATCAGTTTCCCATAGTTGTCTTTACACCTGCAAAACATCTGTTCCATGAGTTTTGTTAGCATATTGATAGTAATTTACACGAAACATTAGTTGTGGTCAGTCTATAGCACTTTGTCTGCTGCTCCTTGGTTGTCTTGCTCATGAGGGGGCTGCCCACAGGCAGCAGCTCCCCAAGACCTGCTCCCACACGGCTCCGTCCCATGGGGTCCATCCCCCAGGAGCAAACTGCTCCAGCACGGGTCCCCCACAGGTGGGTGGCAGCTCCCCCCAGACCCCTGCTCCTGCATGGGCTCCTCTCCACGGGCTGCAGCTCCGGCCTGGGGCCTGCTCCTGCGGGGGCTCTCCATGGGCCGCAGCACCCATGGAGGAGTACCAGGGGCTCCTCCACCCATGGGGGGGCTGCAGCATGGAGATCTGCTCTGTGTGGGACCCATGGGCTGCAGGGGGACAGCCTGCTCCACCAGGAGCCCCTCCACAGGCTGCAGGGGAACTGCTGCTGCCTGCCTGGAGCACCTCCTGCCCTCCTGCTGCACTGACCTGAGGGCTGCAGGGCTGCTTCACTTTTTCTTACTCCTCACTCCAGCTGCTGTTGTACACTTTTCTTGAGGAAAAAGTTTTTCCTTTCTTACAGAGGCTCAACCAGAGTCACTCAGTGGCTTGGCTCTGGGCAGAGGCAGGGCCCTTTGGAGCCGGCTGAAACTGGCGCTTATCTAACATGGGGCAGCTGCTGGACTTTTCTCACTTAGGTCACCCCTGCAGCCTGCCAAAAAACCTTGCCACGCCACGTAAACCCGTAACAGGTAGACTTGTTATATAAAAGCCCTTTTGGAAAAACACTAGGTCTTGATCATGATAACGATTTATGCAGTTAAAGCAGCGGCCGGTGAAGGCGCAAAAACATAAAATGGAAGCTTATGGAAGTTCTCTAAAAAGAAGCATCTCGTCTTAAAGGTTACAGATTTCTTCTGTTTGATGCCAAGCAAAAATAACATTTTTTTTCATCACTTTCTTACTGGAATGTGTTGTCCTCACCATTTTTAAAAAAATAAATAGAATGAAGAGCAAAATTTAATACCATATTTGTGTTGTGTGCACAGATAAGTGCCTGAAAATGCTAGTGTTAGCATCAACCAGGCATTTCCATATCAAGATTAAAACAAACAACCGGGCCCAGATCTTTTACTAGTAATCGACTATGTCCAGCTCAGGCAATTTCAGTCTTAAATATTTTTTGTCAATCTCCTGTCACTGGGTAGATACTACTACTGGTTCCTGCTGTAGAAACATGGAAGAATTCTAGCCTCAACTGTTAGGAACAGGTTGTTTCTTAGGTTGGTTAAGCTAAGGAACGTGGTTTTATTCAGTCTTAGAAAACAAATTGTATTTGTTGACTCAGAAATGCTTCCTAAATATTGCTAATACTTAGTTTACATAAAGATATCAAACTGTTTCCAGGATTATCTAATAGTAGTTAAATGATAGTTTGTAGCTGCTGTTATTCTGACTTAATAATCCTTTACAAATGTTGCTCATTTAAGCAAACAAGTCAAAGATTTTTTTCTATACATGATAGCATCAAGACAAAATGTATCTAAAATTTATTATACAAGAGGCTATTTTCTTGTACTAGGGACTACAAAGATGTACCGCTTAGGTGGTAATGGTTGTTTGGCTTGATTGCATCGATTAGTTTGCTTCTGTTTTCACATCTTGTTCCCTAAATTATTTTCTATATCTTTAATATAAGCTGTCTATCATGAGAAACCCATGCCACTATGAGTGTCTGGGCTTGTAACAACTGCACAACAGTTACTTGCCTGGTGAATGCAACTACTTTAGAAAATGGCCTTATTCCACGTTTCTTGACTTCATTGAAGCTTTTGTTTATAACCAAATGTCTCTTACAGATACCTACTCAACATACCTGAATATTTTTTTCTCCTCTTTGCTTATGGATGACACAACAGGGGCAATCTTCGGTATGCAAAGGCCAAGTGAGAGAAAGTGAAAGTTTGCTGCTGGCCTTAAATACGTTAGTTGAATGCGTAGCCTTCCCATAGGCTTTTCAAAGCTACCTGGGACAAACAACTGTAATTTAATAATGTAAAAGGTCTGCTTCTCTATAAGGCAACTGTGCTGCCAGACAACGATTTTTTTCGAGCAGTTGGATAGCCTGGTGCTCAGCTGCTTAGATGGGATGGTGCGTATGGTGAAACCACTGATGGCCCTGCACTTACAGCTATCAGAGCGCTTGGTCTTTCACCAATACTTATAATTGCATCACCTGTGTGAAAGTACAGAGACAAGACAAGTAATTTTTATTGCTGCATTTTTTGCGCATGTGTGATTGTGATTAGGATTGGGACCAAAGGTCCCTAATATGAGAACACTAAGCATACTAAACTGAGGAGAGCACATCGCCTTCACCTTGCCTCAAAAGTCCTACCAAATGTTTCTTTACATGTAGCAGGGTTAAAATATATCCCAGATGCTAGTTAGGAAGGAATGATAGTAGCCGGGATGAAGTCAGCTGAAACCTCTGACAAAAGCACGATGTGCTCCTTCATGCATTTGTGATCACCTGGAAGAGATACAGCGCGTTTTGCTCAGCCGGACTCTTTGGGCAGCAGGAAAGCAAAACGTTTCTCCTGGCTTGTCATGGATGTGGTGGGAGAAAATGAAGCCCTGCAGCAGTTCTTTGAAGGTAAGAGTAGTTTTAAGGGATTGTCTTAACAATTTGTTGTGGCAGCAAATATACAGCAACTGTTTGGGATTGATTGAAGACAAAACGAAGAACAAAAGCCCCGAAACAGAAGCTCTATTTATACAAAAGTATCATTTGATGCAACACCAAAAAGAAACAGTACAAGTGGTGTAGATGCACTGCAGTGTGTTTTTCTTGGTATTTTGGGGAGAATAACAGGAAAGGTGGATCCTGTGGTGTGGTGCTGTGAACTGTCAGGAAGAAAACCAGGAAGTGGCCGAGGTCTCCTCACCACTTATCCCTTCTGCAGCCCTAGTGATTTTCATGAAGCTGGGGAGCTCCCTCCCTACTCTACCTCATCAAGTCAGGTTGCAGAGGGTTTTCTTTCCACTCAAAATTCCTCTGAAGCTATTTGATTGTAATTGGATCTGAGAAATTAAAAGCCAATATTTTTGTTTGGTTGTCTGGGATCTGTCCTTATGCCTTTTGCCCAAAGTCATTTGACACTCAGGCAGCACCCATCAGTCTTGCTTCTCTTACCACAAAATTTGCTTTCTATCACATTCCTTAATAAATTTTAATTATAAATTATTTCCTTCTATGACCTGTACAGGTATTCATCATCTGTTATGGGTCTTAACTATAACCACCTTTTTTATTTGACTAAAACAGTCAACATTCTTTGCCAGAATTTATTTTATTTTATTTTTTTCTTTTGGCTAGCACTAGGTGAAAGGTGGCAGCTCTAACTTCCTAACTTTTGACTTTGATTTCAGTCTAGGAAATGAAGGTCTGCCTGCATTCCTCAAGGAATTGTTTTTAAGGCAAGAAATTTAAATCAGCAAACCACAATCTAGGGCTGCTAGCAGACAAATGTGTTGTTTATGGATATTACAAAATCCATACCATGTTTCATAAGTTCACTTTAAGTCGCAGAGATCAAAAACTAATAAACTTGGTTTTGCTTTCAGCAAGATATTTGTTTTTATCAAGCTATTTGTTCAAGTACTGTACTGCATAGCTGTTAAATACTCAAAATAGTGTTGGATATGAATTACATAAAAAGCTGATCACCAGAAAACTTTTTAAGAAGTTCCTTGGGAAATGGCTTTCTGGGAAGTGCGGGCTGGGTTTGTTTGACTTCTGTGACGATACTATGATGGTAGAAAATATATCAGGGATTTTAGCTGTGCGAGCTGTTTAGCTAGAATTACTAATTGTAATTGTACTAATTGCAATTCTAGAATGACTAATTTAACTCTCTTTAGAAGGTAGTTAGGTAGAACATCTGTATGGGTGGGGAGAATCCCTGTCAATTCCATTTAATCACGGAAAAAATGAAACATTTTGGAAAGTCATGTTCCTTTAGTAATATCGTGTGGTTCTGCTGTGTAGAACTAGAATATGACAAAGGTCTGCTAAGGTGATGCAACATGAGGGGATGACATTTGTTTCACTGTCTGGACACTGACACTGGATGTATGGCAAGGCTACAGAAGCTAATCACTCTTGCTTTCAGTATGTAGGTAGCTAGACACCTCTTGCTGTTAAACCACAGGTAAATTTGAAAAGGGAGCAGGCTGATTTAAAGGATGGTTTGCAGTCTTTTCTTTTTCACTCCGCTGAAAGTAAGGGCAGCTTTGACTGCTTCTTTCCAACTTAGCAGTACGGCTGGTGGTTTGGCTTTAGAATGCTTCCAAATGAGACAAGAGCAATAAACTGCTAAGTCTGATTTAGTGGCCTCTGAGATTAGTCATAGCAGCTGGAACATTGTCTTTCAAGGCTACAAAACAGCTGAGTCTTGCAATATCAAGTTTCAAATGCTGCCGCTGAGGAAGTCTCTGATTCATCAGTACTTCAGCTTTGGCTTCCAAATGGATCAGCTGGCAACTAAGCACATTTAAAATGTTTTGCAGGATTATTTGAAATTCATGAGCAAAAAAGAATCCCACTTTCCCTGTTGCTTTAGTTCCTAACAGTGCATATATGTTCTGACACTCATTATAAGATCAACTCGCATTTGCAGTATTGAGAAGGACAGCCTGAAGAAGTTTTCAAGGAAAATGAGATAATGCAACGATTGTTTTTCCTGTAAATCACTACTTTCAATAATCAATAGATCTTAGATTAGATGTGACTCTAGCTGGGACTTGACCTGTCTTTTTCTCATTCAAGAAAATGGCTTTTCTCTTGTGGAGTGGCTGTTCTGAAAGTTTTCTGTCTCGTTTCATTCCTCTCACACTAGATACTTGATCTTTGATTTCTCTTGAAATAAATACTTTTATTATTAAAATATTTAGATTTTTGAATCAGTAACTTCCTATTTGTCAAAGGGAGGCCAGAGCTCCCCAGTTTTTCTGCGTGTCCATCTGTAGCCGAGCAATCTATTCTTGCTGATGTTACCAATAGGTTGAGACACAGAATGAAGGCCAAAGTAGTTGCGCTGTTAAATTCAGCTTTCTCCTGTTTTGCTGTTGTTAGAAGCTACGTTCAGGTGTCTGAAATGTGTGTTTGGCCTCAGTGCCCTCTGTGAAGAAGTCTCCTAACAGTGGATCACCACCTCTCTTTGTACTCATGCTCCTGTGTGGATAACACTGAATCTATCTGAATTAAGCCACAGAACAAACCTGCCATTAAACATGAAACACTTAAAAAAACAAAGGCCTCTCCTACCATTTTAAGGATGAAAGATTGAAACAGGAGTAAAAGATAACTTGACAACTTAAAAGGACTCACTGTGAGATTTCTGTTTTTCTGGAAAATGTTGGCATTTTGGGGAAAAGCCGCCTAACATGACACAAGCTCACTTCTTACCTGTTGGAGTGTTGCAGATCTTCCTGCCATTGAATAACTGTGGTCTGTGGAATATCCCCACAGGTTGCAGTGCCATCAGAAAGAAGCTGTTTTTTCCTTAACCCTTTTCTACTCATTGCTGCCATGTGCCTGAGGTTCGTGTCCTTTGCCCTGATGGCTGAGCATCTTCTATCAATGACTCCAGTCTGTTCCAGTCAAAATGAACAGGATGATATTCAGTAATTTAAATAGTGAGCAATACTTGGGATCCTTTTAGCATGAAGGAAGTTAAGGAATTATCCGCCCCCTGAGTAAGACTTACCTTATTGCAAGACTTAACTTAATGAAGCTCAGCTGGACTTTTCACTGAGCTTTTATAGTGGCCCATAAAGTGTTTTAGTGGTACAGTATCTCCAGATGAATATTAGTTATTAATTCCAAGAAAACATTTCCTTCAAGATGCAAGGCTTTGTAACAAGCTTTATGAATTTGTCCTTCACAAGGCAAGTAATACTTGGCATTGATCGTGTTTTATGAGCCACTTACACATCTCCAGCTGTATTTAAGGATTGTCCCCTGATGGAATAGCTGAGGTTTTGACACAATTCTTACAACAAATAGCTGGAGTTGGCTAGAAACTTCCTGGCATATCTCTTTTAATGTCAAGTAATGATCAGTTTAGTATTCATGTGGAAAGCGGCGACCATGCTTCATGCCAAATTCAGACCTGTGTGTGACTTTCTCTGGAACAAGCGACTCCAGGAAGGACATAAAAAGAACCACAAGGAGTTTCTGGTTCTGTGCCCCCCATCCTTCACTTTGCATTAGATACTAGTGAAAAGGAGACAACTGATTTAAATGCAGTAAGGCTCTGCGAGGAAATGCTGAGAGAATTAACCGAGGCAGGAGATTGAGGGATTGAGACTGCAGCTGTTGGCTTCAGAAGCGTACAGGGGAAACTGTGATTGGAGCCTCCTGGCTGGAGAAAAGGAGGTGTCTGCCAAAAAAAGATGTATGAACCTAGTCACTGTCAGACAGGGAGGAAGGACAGAGATCAGTCTACTCTGGGGTGCGAGCGGCTGGAAATAGGGGCAGGCTAGCAGGGAATGGACAGGGAAACAGAAGGCAGTGCTGGAAGAGAAGTTTGGGACTTCAGATCAAAAGGGACAGAGCAACAGAATATCTGTTTGATATTTGATGGAAAAATGGTCAAAATACAGTACAGCCCTATGCTGCCCCTGACTGCAGTCTGTTCTGTGAGCAGCCCTGTGTGAAGCCCCAGTGCCTTGCCTTTGCATTTCCCCTTGCCCCTCACTGGCTCCAGCTTATTTCTGCTGGTTCCTGGAGGAGCTGGCAGTCCTCTGCACAGTGACACGAGTCACCCAGTGCGGACGCTTCCCAGAGGATGGCTGGGCAGCCTGCGCTGTGGAGTGTGGCCTGGGAGCAGAGATCCTTGTGTGCCTGCTGATAAGGGCTGCTGATGCTGCACATCCCCTGGCAGCACTGAGCCAGGCATGCGGTTTGGTGCAGGAAGCTGAATGTTCACAGGGGCCTCTCAGCAGAGCTTATCTGTGTATACACACAGCTCTCTGCCCTTGTAGTGGCTTTGGGTAACTGGCTTGCACACTACCAGGGAGCAACAAGAACAGTAAATAAACTCCCAGTCAAAGTGTCAGTGTGCTTTATCATCCCCAAGCCCGTATCTTTCAAGTGCCTACCATGTTTCAAAGCCTGTGAAATGGATGCCAGTGTTTTAAATACATTTGCATATGATCCAGCAGCTCCTCCTCTGCTGAAACATGCCAGTGCAAGCACTGGCTGGCACAGAAAAGGAAAGTACATGCAGAAAGAAAGAAAAAAAGATGGTTATTAGAGTTAAGGTCTACAGGACTACAGCCAAATGTAGTGTGGCTCTTCTGTATATCAGCATCATGAAATTCCTTGGCGGTGGGCTGTCTTCCTGATGTGCTTCCTTCCTCCCCCAGCACAGAGTTACTTATTCCTTCCTTCTCCTCCTACCCATTTAACTGTTAGAGCAAAATGTAGAGGTTAAGAGGGAATGGTGCATATTGCTGTTGTTGTCACTGAGCAGGAGGGCTAATCTCTGGACTGTGGGATGCCCGTATCAAAGACCCTGTCCGTTTTTGTTTCAGAGCTGCACTTCAAAAGAGTTTGTTTCTGATCTTGGTCAAAATAAAGCAATTCTTGGTTTTGTGGAACAGGAAAAAACACATTAGTAACAGGACTGTTTCATTATGCATGAGGGCCAGGCTACTCGAACAGGAGGTCAAGTTTTAGGGAGGTTGTTGAAGAAAGCCAGGCCCCTGTGTACTTTCAAGCTGGTTTTGCAAAGTGCTTTGTTTGCTACTGCTTCAAGATTTTCCATATTACAATGTTGCTGAGGCAAGTAAGTCTGCTACGCCTATTGAATCTGCTCCTCTCTGAGGTGTGGAGAAGCAGCTTTGTATACATTGCTGGTATGTTTGGATGTAAAAACCTACCAGCACACCTGCAAGCTGCAATCTCACGGTGAATGGCAGCTAGAATTCAGCCTGTAGCACCAATAAGTAAACCTAGATTCCCTTGTGCTCACAAAGCTATTTTGGAAACATTTGTTAGCAACTTGAATTTATGTAGTAAGACACACACACACAGGGGAATTCCTGTGCAAGGTGGTCAAATTGGGTATCAGATGCTGCTTGCAGTTAAACAATGTCTAAACACTGGATCAAGAAAGAACCACACGAGACAGAGACAACAGAAAGAAAGAAGAAACCTTAGGACTTCTATGATGCTGGTGTCAGCCACTTGGGGCTGAGACACGCAGCTGTTGATTTACAGGCTACTCCACTTTATCCTGTGTAGTAGTGGGATAGGGCTATCCAGCTCCAGTGGCTGACTGGAGCAAGCAGTAACTTAAACTCCCTTATCTTGCTTGCTTTCTGACTGGACACACCTGTGTTTATAGAAGGCTTGCTGGAAAGCTGGGGAGCCTGCGCAGTAGTTTTGTTTGTTTTTCTTTTCTTTAAGGGGAGGTCCGTCTGACTTGCTTGACTTGCTAGGAAAGAACTCACGAATTCCACAGACTTTATAATCATAAAATCTGTTTATAGCCTTCAGTAACTAAGCAGCAAAGGACAAAGTACTCAACCTTTCTGCTCATTAACACATTTAACATATTATTGGGCTGTTTTTGTTTGTTTGTTTATTTGTTTGTTTGTTTGTTTGTTTTCTAGGTAAATAATAAAAAGCCATCAATTCCTTTAACATTTCTAAAGCTTTATTTCTGCTTCTTTAATCTAAGTTCAGGACAATGGATTTTTAAATTATTTTAGAATAGCTTAAAACTATTAGAAATTCACTGGAGTACCAATGCAGAAAGTGGATCTCTGTGAGACAACATCTGAGCTTTGATTCAATCACCTACTTTGATCCCAATATAAAAGGGTATGAAGTTATCTTCAGAACCTATTTTTTTTTTCCAGTTGTCAGATGGGAGCCCCTCATCCTCTTGCTGTGATAATTCAGTGAAGCCTTACTGAGAAATACGAACTGGTGTTTTCCTGGTGCTGCTCCATCATCTGCCATCCTCACCTGTATGCTCTCTTTTGCTCTGCGTTTCCTGTCATCTTTTCTCCCCAGAGTGACTATATTTCTAAACAAAAGGGTAACCCATATATCACACATGAGATTTGCACCTCTGCTAGGACAGGACTGATTTGGTTTTCCTTGTGCATGACATTGGGCAACGTTATTTAGTCTAAAGTACTGATGACTGTACAAATTTCACTCAGAATTCGTCTTCTTGACATTCTTTAATTATAGGGCAAGATGTCCACAGAGCCTTGGAGAACCCCATGGTGGATACAAGTATGCTGGAAGAATTCATCAGTAGTGACTTAGAGTTTGGAACTTTGTAAGTATTAGAGCAGCAAATTATTTTATTTTTTTTTTTTCAGTAGCACATTCATAAAATCTGAATGCAACAGTCAGACCTGAAATCTCTTAATTTCAATAGGACTGTGGTGTGGTGTTCTTAGTTGAAAATGCGTAAGCGCTGGAAATATAAATTGCAGATAGTAATAGAATACTGTTGGTTTTATAGTTCAACCGAATGGATATGATGATGTCTGGGATAATTCACAACTGTTATACTAATTATGGCCTTAAATGCAAAGCTGTTATTTTTTAATATAACCAAGTGCTGCTTTAGTGTTAACATTCAGAATAAATGATGTAAATGAGATTAATGTATAATAAATTGAGAGACTAATGTAAACAGTCCATGTCTGAGGGGAACAGGTCTACTCTTTTCATCCTAACGATTCCCTCAGAACGAAGAAGCTGTCCATTAATCTTTTCTGAGACTTGTTTTCAGAGTTACAAAGGCTACATAATGAGAAGGGTCATGGTTAAGGGTGGAAAGTTATACAATGCAGATCTATCAAGACTTCAAACCCAAATCTTTCATCTAGACAACTGTCATATGATTGTTAAATGTAAACTATGATTAATGGGCTGACACTTGCCAAGAGCAAAGCAAAAGTGGATGTTTTTACAGTAATTAAATGGCTCACAGGACCTTTCACTCTGTACATACTTGGCATTGCACATATTTACTTACAGTGGGCTAAATAGGCTTCTACCTGCTCTAAATCATGAATAATGACTTGATTTTCTCGCTGGCCACACTCATAACAGAAGAATGAAGAGGCTGCTTCATATAAATACTCATAACTTTTGTTCTTAGCATGACTAAACATGTATCAGACTCAACAGATTATCAAACTCCTTTAAGACAACTTTAAAGTGCAACTGTTGCCTTTGTACACAAAAACATATAGCAGTAATATATATGTACATATCTGGTATCATGTAGCTTAGGTACATTACGTGGACATTATAGCTGCAGTGCTAAGCATGAGCAAACACAATGACATAATCTGTTTAAAAGAGCTTCAAAGCAGTGTTTGAGCCTACAATTTATAGGAATGCTTGAAAGGGTTAGGAGCCAATTTCTGAACCTCCATCATCCCTAATGCAATTGAGGAACCCTTATATGTCCTTTAAGTGGCCGAGAGTTGGCATAGGATTTTCTCTCATTTAAACTACTACGAAAACACAATCATAAAGATCTGAAAAGTTTGAAATAAAATAGTTATGAGATGTGACGGCCCTGTGCCCTCAGCTGACTAAAGCCAGGAGCCCAGCCTCGCTGTAGCAGTCTGCTGGTGACTTATGCTCTTCCCATTTTCAATGCAATGAAGTGTTTTTGCTATGTAGTGTGGAAACACCTGCTTGTTCCTGTGAACTACTCATGAAGGACTTGGCTTAGCTTAAATTATGCTCTAGTTCCACCTCTCTCTAAGGCAGTATTCCTTTACATTGTCTGATAGGAGAAATTCTAAAAGTGTAAAAGCAAAACAGAGCATATGCTACAATAAATACTATAAATATATACTATAACATAATCAAGCATATGGGCTAAAGACTAAATAATCAAGAAACTTTTTTCAAACCCCAAACATGGGGATGCACTGAGCTGTTGGACATGAGTTGAGTCATAAACTGAGAGCAAAGCTCCCAGTGTCAGCTGCAGACAAGCAAGCGTTTGCTTTCCATGTGAAAATCAGGAGGAAGGTACACAGTAAAATAGCATAGACAAATGTGTTCTTGTACAGATCAGTGTTATTGAAGTTTTTCACAAAGAAAGCAGTTCTTGTTTACAGAGATTTATGTCTTTGAGTAACAGCAACAACAACAACAAAAAAGAAAAAAAAGGAACACTTTAAAAATTGGAGATAGGCAAAAGTGTACTTCTGTTGTTGTGCTTTCATAATGACCTCTCCCAGCAGGGCTGTTAAAAGAGAAATCTTTCCTGCTTGGCTATGGGGTTTGGCAAGGAGGTGGCTGTGGATCACATGTAATTTCTGGGTTCCCAGCCAGGATTCTTCTGTCATGCCTCCAGCGCCCTGGCTCTGCTACTGATTTTCGGAACATAACTGCCTTTCTACCTCGTTTTGTCTGTGCACCTGCTCCCTGCCGTGCTCCCACTGGGGGTCTGAAGGTGCTGTGCCACGCAGAGACCTTGCCTGACACCAGGGAGCTGAGTGAGTTACTTCTGTGCAACAGTGCTGGCTGTCAGCATAAAAACCTGAGGAGACCCAGCTTCCTGCTTCGTGTAATGTGAACTGGGAGATGAGCTTCTTGCTTGTGTAGCTGTACGCAGAGGAAAGCAGCCCGGCCCTGCCTGCCTTTGGCACAGCACAGTGTTACTCAGCGGGCGTTTTCACGGCGGGTGACGTGGAAGCTGCTGGGTGGCGGTGCTGCATGTGGAGCTGCACGGGTCCACGTTTTGTGAGCGCTCTTTGTTAGAAGAGCCTCGTTTCATAAATTTGTTACCAATTAGCACAAACTTTTGATCACTGACTCGGCTACTGAGATAAAGAGAACATAAGCAATTAAATACACTTCCTCCACACAGACTTCCTGGGGCTCAGTTTCAGCTGAGCACTTCTGCCTCTCCTGCTCTCCACTCCCCTCCTTGTCTCCTGTGAGGTGACGGGAGGCCTGTGGTGGGGTAGTGGGGTGTAATAGCTCCTCCTTGACACTCTTCACCCTTTTCTGTTTTTCCTGGCTCTGCCATGGGTCACTCATGACCCTGCTATCCCCTTGGCACGTCCCTGCTCCAGGGGGTCGCAGCCTTGCCTCACAGGGCGCTCGCTGCCTCAGCTGCATGGCCACTCGCCTGCCCGTGCTGCTGTGGGACGCGGGCGCTGCTGACTGCTGAGGTGCTAGATTTAGCAAGCGAGGGGTAGCTCATGGCCAGTTGGAACCAGCTGAAACTGGCTGGGACTGGCTGAGACTGTCTCAAACTGGCTGGAACCAGCTGCAACTGGCTGAAGTCAAACAGAACTGGCTGAAGGTTGCCAGGACCAGTACCAGGCAGCTCGTGCCTGCCTCCCCTCAGTGCAGCCTGCAGCCCCTGCTGCCCAAACCATGCCTGTTTTTTCCAGTGCACCTTTAAAATTTTTCATTTCTGAGGGCTGCTGGGATGGACCTTTTCTTTTGTGATTTAGACATAAAAGATACTAATTACTCTGTCGTCCCTGTTGTGTCCCCCCTCATTGTTTTTTAAATGGAACTAGAAAATTTGTGTAGGGTTGAGAAGAAGGAGGGTAGATTATCACCCATGAAAACTCTATGTAAAGCTTCTAGATCTTTTTGGCTGAGCTTGTACAAAGCTCTTGTTTCAAATCAGACAAATGCCTTTCCCACCCTTGGGGCAGCCCCTGCTTCCCTCCTCTCTTGGGCATGTGAAGTGCTGTGGATATGGCCTAAGATCTGGTAGTGGTTGTGAGTGCTGTGGCCAAACTGTTCCCTTAAGAATTGTCTGCAGTTAGCAGCTGAAGATGCTACAGCTCTTTGAAATGTGGTGTAGACAGAATGGAGCTGTTGTGAGCTCCATGTAGCTTGGTGGTCCCCCTCCAACTGCTTTTAGCATTCTCTTGTGGTCATCCTGAACGTTTTCTCCCAGTAAAAATTAACGTTTATTTTTCATCCCCAGGCAAAGCCAGTTGCCAGACTCCCCACCAGACTCTGGGTCAGAAGCATGCTCTCCACCACAGCTCAAGAGTAGGTGACGTGAATTCTGCCTCTCCTAAGCTAGCGGGAAGGTCTCCAGCTCCTTTTCTTTCTACTTCCTTTCTTGTCTGTCTGCCTCTTTCAGCCATCTGGAATGATGCTTCGTGGCCAAGTGGGCAGCAGCCTCCGCTCCCATGTCCATCGGCTGTGGCACCCAGCAGGCTCCCCTGCAGGTTCCTGGAGACTTTTCCTGACCCTAACGCCAGTGGGCATCCTGGCAGCATTCCCCAAGGCTCCTGTCTGAAGAAAGATAATACCGTGCCTCCATGGAATAATTCTACATCCTCCAGCTCTTTGGGTTTCAATTATTCATACTTCCAACCAAATGTACCTCAGGTTTCCAGGTAAATGATAAAACCTTTATGCAAGGGATGAGACAGATACAGAAAAAAAAATTGAGCTGAAAGAAGACGTGGTTAAAGGCTGGTGTAAAATCCCTGTGGGTGCAGGATTTTCCACGGGGTGGCAGTGTTTAGACATGTTTGATACGCTTCTGTTTGAGGGTTCTTTAAACATCTTGATTTAAATTAGGATTACAATGCGTGGGAATGGACTTCAATTTTAAGAAAGTTACAAGGCAAGTTACAAGGAAGTTACAAGTTACTAACAAGTAGTTAGTAACTGGATTATAAAAATATTTAGGTGTTTTGCAATACTTTCCACAGGGATTTGTCCGTGAGGGTCTTGGAAGTGTTTTGACATAAGAGAAAAAAATTGTCATATCAATGTAAGCAAGTGAAATGGTATTCATATACCATCTGCCATATTTGTCCACCAACATGTTCCAGATGCTTAATTAAAATACATTGGGTAGTGCAGACATCCAACCATGACATCTAGTAAGAATGAATTGACCAATGCATACCAGAGGGGGACCTCCCTGGTTGTTGGGAGATAATCCAAATTCATCAGTGTTAGTCCTGGGCTTGCAAATTCTCTGTCTCCTGCTCTGCAGGGAGCTCAATTACACATTACATTGGTGATGTGTGTAAAGGAAGCTGGGCCTAGATTTCTTGTTGAGGCTGTTTATGGTTTTTTTTCTTTTCTTCAGTATCTTCAGGACAGTCTGTGACCTGGGCTTTGCCTTTTATTTTATTTTATTTTATTTTATTTTATTTTATTTTATTTTATTTTATTTTGTTTTGTTTTGTTTTGTTTTATTTTGTTTTATTTTATTTTAACACTTCCAGAAGGAGTAAGCATCTGCCAGGATATTCCATATTATATTTTATAATATCAAAACTTTGGAATAAGATTTTCCCCCTTGCAGAAAGGAGAAGATTTTGAAATTTCAGTTTCTGTGAAAGGGGAAAACTGTTTCCTACCTGTTTTCCTAGTGATGTCATCATTAATGCGTTAGTTTAATAGCTATTGTTTTTTGTTTTCTGTATAAGAAAAGTGAGTTCACATTCAGGGAAGAAAAAATATTTAAGAAAATGGTGTGATTTTAATGCAGATATAAGAAAACAATAAAATCCTATCACATACGCACTCTGTAAGTTTTTGAAGAGATTAAGTTCTCTATTCATACAAAATTAAAAATACTGCTAATTTATGTTTTGGAAGAGAAAATTGCATAATTCAGATCAAAAAAGCTAAAAACAATCTCCTCCTCCTGGTAAATCAAAATTTGGGCGACAATACAGTTAGAATGAGATACCTGGGTATTCTCTTATAATGACTGTAGTATCTGTATTCCAACTGAAATTAGTAATGTAATGTATTTTTAAAAAAGTATTTCTACAGCATCAGGCAAAAAAAGAAAGTTATCACAATTACTGGGAGATAACAGTGATCCTCCAGTCTGGCCTAACAGCTGCAGTCAAGGTAAGCAGATGTGTGAAGATGGAAATTAATGTTTCATACCACAGACAAGTAAAAGAGCACATGTCGTAGTGACTTTGCAAAGGTAGTGGTATTAACAATCTGCACTCTACTACAAAATTTGTAACAATTTACTTTTTTTTTTTTTTAAATAAGGACCTATGTATATTTGGGAAAGAGAGATGAAGTATTAGAGGTCTTTGCTTACTGACTACCCCCCAAACAAAATACTCTGCCCTTCTCCATGCCTGCAGATGATAACCATACTCTGCTGACTTGCTTGGCACTGGGCAAAGAAACTTGGTTTAGTTTAGCAGGGGATTAATGTAGTGGGTGAGAGAACAGATCGCATTTTTCCCTTTATGATACAATTTATCAACTGTGTATTTTTTCTACAAAGTGTAGAAAATTGTTCAAGTTAGTAAAACCTGTGTTCTCCACCCCTTCTCCAAATTAACTTAGTAGTTTTATCAAGATAAATATGCTAAGCTTATACCAATTGCTATAAAAAATCTTAATCAGCCATGTACATAAGTGCATCAGCTTCTGTGAAGTGTGAAGCTGTCTGTGAATCAACAGTTTGTAATAAACAATTTATCTGAGGAATTTTCAGCCTCAGTCTATTAGTGGAAAATCTGAAAGTTTCATGCCATTTCTTCAGTGTAAGTTATATTTAAGCATTAAATATATGTATATATTTTAAATGAATGGCAAGTGGATTTACTAGGTTAGTTTTCCTTTGATACCTGCTATTTGAGTGTGACTAGTTCTCTGAGTCTATCACTCCTTGTAAAAAGAAGATGAGTAGTTACAGTGCAAACACTTCTCTTGCTAATATTGTTATTGCTGTTTTTAATACTTAAAGATACAACTTGAAATATGCTTTCTTTGGGAGTCTGATGATAAAATCTCTCCGACTCCTTTGTAATTGGAAGAAGAACACAATAATTAATAAAAATGTCATGGTGGGGATCTTTTAGGAATGAGATGTGAATTTCTTTATTATTTTCTTTAATAGTATGTTTGCCCCTGATTATATTTCAGAAATGGGAATTTGCAAATGAAGCATGGGCCTGAAATTATTGCTTTAGCAGTAGGCTCTGTTAAAATGCTGCCACAGGCCATGGAAAGATTTTAGTTTATATGCTCACTGACGTATTTTCTCCCATCCTTACCACACTCAATTTATCTGTTTCTCTTACCAGATTCTCCTCTGTCATCATGAAATGTATAATATGTCAATGAATTATGGTTGACCCTATTTATCTCAAAATGCTATAATATATAGTCAGTAAGCTTAACCAGTTAACCAGACGCAGTAGTAAATGTGGTTGCTATTGGAAAACTGCATCTTCAGTCTTTCAGACTAAGTACCTGCTGCAATGAGCTGGGGTATATTCAGTTTAAACCTGTACTAGAGAGAATGGGAAACATCTGTAATTCTTTTGCTTCTTTCACTGCACTTATTTGTCTTTGTCCCACTTTGCTCTTTGCACAGCTTCTTGCAATGTTGCAGATAACTTGTGGTTTGGAATAAAATGTTTAGCTTTCCATTGTGGGCTTTTTTTTTTTTTTTTAATTATTATTATTATGATTTCCCAAGAGAAACTATGTATCCTTTGGGAGATAATAGGAAGTGCTACTTGTACAATATTTTGCCAATTAGGAAAGGTAAAAATTTTACTTTGTGTGACAAGGGAATATAGCAGGATCTTTTGGAATAGCTGCAAAGGAAAATAAGATTTAAATATATTTGCAATATATTTGTGCATTAGTGGTGGTTTTTTTTTTTTTTTTGTTTTTTTTTTGGTGCTTTATATGTATGTAAATATATCAAAATTTTAATGCAGGATTTTTTTGCTAGTAACAATCAGTGAATTGTATCTGTCTCTCTACAGCAACTCTTAAGGACTGTGCAGTTGAGGTGCAAGAATATGACAGTGATGGACAGAATGCTGCTTTGGAGAAATGCTATCAAGCTCTAACATGGCAACTGTACCAAACTTCTCAGTGGAACAGCTTATTTAACTCTAATTATGAAAAACTGTAAGCACTGAAGATTGCACTTGGAAAAAGTGTATTATTTTATTTTATTTTATTTTATTTTATTTTATTTTATTTTATTTTATTTTATTTTATTTTATTTTATTTTATTTTATTTTATTTTATTTTATTTTATTTATTATTCATTTTCCTGGTCCTGTGGTTTTACAGCAATAAATGCTACTTTTGGCATTCCTTGTTCTTTCTGACTATAAGACTGGAGAAGGAGGTATAGCAGTGGTGGGTTATGAATCTGCAGATGTATCAGATAAGCAGAACTTTAAACACTGCTTGAAATTCATGCTAGATTTTCTGATTTCCTTTCAGGGATTTAGGAGCAAAAGAAAAAATAATTTAATGTAAATACCTGTAGTTTTTGCTTCTTTTGTCAAGCACATTTGTGAAAGTACTTACTGAACATATTACATATAATGGCCTAAAACATTAATGAAATGGAAACAGAAGATACCTGTATTACTTCTGTATTCACATGACCAATGTGTTATAACTATAGTCATATATGTATAATATGCAACTCTTTAGTGAAAGACTTAGAGTTTTTCTGTATAAATCAAAATTGTAAACCATTTTTTTTTTTTTGCCTCATGATCTGTGAAAGGCTATTGCAAGTTCACTTTACATCTCAGATTTTCTCCATTCTAGTATTTAGTGCATGATCCCTTTTAACAAAAGCCCTTCTACAGTGTCTGCTCTATGCCCCAGGATTGGTGCAAACAATTTGTTACTCTCTCCACAGGACTTAGTAAATTTTAAGTTTCTTCTAGCTAAAGCTGTTTAAAGTACTCATGGCAGATTGGAGTTTATCAGTGTCATTGCTGGACACTGACACTCCCTGTTATTGCACTGTGTGATAGGAGTAATATACACATCACAGCCCTTTTCCCGAGGGACTGATGTGATGTGAGAGCAGACAGCTCAGTGTTTGCACCAGACAACTCAGTGTTTGCACCTTTCTACTACTTGGGAGCTGGATGGGCCAAGAAACCTCACAGTACCTCAGATATGTTTGGGATATGAACTGTACCTCTAAACGGAGGTGGTCTTCAACTCTTCTTGTGCCTTCATTTCATTTGAGCTGTGAGTTAATGGTGGGAGACTCCTTGCCCCACGTGCTCCCGTATACTTAAAATTGAAGTTCCACACTTACATTTCTTGGTGGCTTGTATCAACAGAGATAAGACAATGTGTTGCTGAGTATTGAAACATCCAAATACATGTGTTGTTACCATGACTGTGCACCAAAGATACTACTTGCAGAGGAAGTCAGTATTAGATTTAAGTGAGGTCAACGGCAGAGCTGTTCTTCCAAGATGCCCTGTAGTTTATGGCACAGTGCACAGATTTGTTCTGAGTAGGAATAGGAATTAACGGCAACCTGACTTCATAGTTTTGAAGTGGTTTTCTCTCTATTCCCTGCACCAGGTAATTTGTGATTGTTTGAAAGGGACTTCTTACTCTTCATTTATAAAAAGATAAAAAAGATAACAGTCTGTACATTTCTTGTAAATTGTAAATACATTTTGATTCTTCCAACCAGTGATGTGCAAATAAGCTCTGAAAAGCCACCTTCACTAGTTGTGTTAATGAGAGGTTCGCAGTAGCATCAGACAAGAGATCATCATCACCCAACTTTCATTAGCAAGACAGGCCAATGTCCATATAAGAGAGCTTTGTCATGTAGTCCTATTATTTCAGAATTACCCATCACCTAAATCAGAGAACATTGCTGGGTGAGTTCACTGGCTGTTTTAGAAAGATCTTTTGATATCTTTCCTTGTCTGCTATGAATTATAAGGACAGAATACTCCTTCTCTTTGGGTGACAGATTGGTCCTTTGAAATAAATGGAAGAGTTTTGTTAGTTGGGGTGGGATGGAAAATATTATTGAAGAGCTTTATAAAGGTCTGTCCATAGTTATCTACAGCTTTGTTTTTAGTTTGAGTAAAGGCTTATTTAACCCTAGCAGATTCTGCAGAAGATCTTGGTGTGGGAACTGAAGAAAAAATAGGAAATCTTGCTGTTTCGTTAGCACATTGCTGTCTGCAGCAGTAGTTCAGCTCTGTTGTTTATAGCAATGTTGTAATAAATTCTTGAATGTGCTAAAAGGTTTGGTGCACAGAGTTCCTTTATACCAGATTTGTAAGTGAGGATTATGTAAGCTTTCCCACCTCTGGTTTCCAAACATTTAATGTGTCAGATGAGAATTACCGCATTTTACATGCATTTTCATTTTTACACCTCTAAGAGGCCAAGAAGAAAATAACTGTTGAACCAGTGATTGTAAAGGTGTATTTCCACTCTCATTTTGTCAGTAAAAATCTGAGGGATTTTTAGTCCACATAAAAAGTAGGAACTTGAGATACAAATATATCTGTACTTATGGTTGCTATTCTTTCTTCTTGTCTTTGTAGACCTGCTGTAGAATATCACATTGTCACAGACAAAGGATTTAATTTTTCAGCAGTGGATGATGCTTTTGTGTGCCAGAAGAAAAATCATTTCCAAATCACAGTCCATATTAGAATCACTGGACATCCAAAATATGTCAAAACTCAGCTAGGGATGAAACCAATAGAAAAGTTTTACTTGAAAGTTTTTGGAATAAGGGCAAGTATTTATCTTCTTTGTGTATATTACTTTTAATGTTAGTATGTGATTATCCACATAATAAGGTAAATAATTGAAGTGAACACTCTTCATAATCATTTTTGTCCAAGAACTGGCAAAAGACAACTCTTAAAACTACTAATGACTTCTGTGTGGTACTCTGGGGGAGTGATGTTTTATGGTTGCTTGTGTTTGGTACATGTTGAAATTTATAATGCTTGTCTGACACGTGGTTTCGGTGACTTCCCTCTTGCTGGCTGAAGTTTTCCTCCCTCTGGGGGCAGTGCAGTGAAGCCAGCTGGTGTGTAGGTGGCCAGCCTATCCATTGACCAAGAAGATGTGTTGAAAAAAAACCATAAAGCAAAAAAAAAGAATCAAATCTGTTTTTCCTGAACTGTTCACATGTAGAAAACCAACACAATACCCCAGTTTCTTCTTGCCAGGTTTTCAATTTTCATTTAAAGAACCAAATTCTTTCTGGCCAATATGGGTCCACAATCTTGCATATAGAGAAGTAATATGAGATTTTCCTATTTCTGAAAGATTTTACCATTTTTTACTTGCTACCAAAATTTAGTTATTTAAAAAATCCCTGTAGTTGTTTTGCTTAATACTCTCTGAAACATGAATGCAGAATAAATTAGTATTATTGTCATGTGTTCCCCTGTGCACCAAAGTGCTGCTTGGTACTATTCCAGAAAGGTACCAAAATTTACATTAAAATAACTTACTGCCTTATGTAGGCTTGGTTCTCATGTTAAAAAATGACATTTATGATTTGAAATAGAACAAGCCAATAACAGTCAAGACTCAGAAATTAAATGTTCTTTTGAAAATTATTGTATCATTTTTTCTATTTTCTGTTTCTTTCAAATTATTTGCAAGAATGATTTGGGACTTTAGACTAGCTAGAACAGAACATTGATCAAGTGTCAGTTGAGTAGGTGTATATTCCCATGTTACTTTCTACTAAGTTACATGAGCAATGAGAGAGATTGCACAGTTTGCCTGTTCATTTCTATTGCAAGTTTTATATCTGTAAAAATTTAGTATTCTTGTCATTTTGATTTTTCTTAATAGGTGGAGTCTCCAAATCAAACTATTGCTATTGAACAGTCTCAGACAGATCGAAGCAAAAAAACTTTCCATCCTGTTAGGTAAGAGTTTTGAGAAATATATTCCATTTTATTTCGATAATAGAGTGGGCTGAACTTTGATGTAGTTCTTTCTTGGAAACTCATAGTATCTCTAAGTCATCTTCTGATCTTTATTCAAATTCTGTTCCCAATGAGTACATAAAATTGCTGTAGTGATATATACCTGGTCTCCCTTCATTAAGGAAAAAAAATCAGCAGCTTTACAAATGCCCATCCCGTATACTTGCATTCAGCTAGCAGTGTTGTTGTATGGTACTGGGGCTGGGTGGTGGATGCATTTCCCGTCTTAAGAACTGTAAGTAGTGTTCCTGCTCTCATGAGACTACAGGGACATGAGATATATGTGCAGTGCTTTTAACAGGAATTGGCCCAAATAGAAATATACATGCAACTTCTCCTGGGAACTGTCTGCCATTCTTCTGCATCTTAGTCAGCAGCAGAACCAGTATTTGTTTTTTTTCTAAGTGTTTCCTGTTGGAGCTGGTCTGTTCTCTAAAAATAATTGAATAAGCCTTACAGCAGAAAAAGATAAGACATTGTCAAGTTTGACAGGACAGTGTTTGGATAAAGGCTGCAATATACAATCTCCAAAAAAATGAACTTTGAGCTTGGACAAAGAGCTAGATTTTCACTTAATTCTATCGTAGCATTATTATTCCTTTTACATACTGAAAAGCAGATTCTGGGTGCATGTCAATTGTTTCATGTGTGATGATGGTGGAACTTTCATTTATGGTAGACAAGAAGGTGGTATGTGGACTGTTGCTTTCTCCATGCAAACTGATTAATCTTATTTATTACGAGAGTGGTGCCACTATGTATTTGAGACACATATGTACATTTTATACTTTCAGACAGACAAATTAAATGCAGATGAAGAAAAAAGGTCAAGCAGTAAATTTTTTTATAATTTTAATATGTTAAGTTCAAATCCAATAATAAGCAATGTTGCATTTGGCAAGCAACAAATTCTCATCATATATTGCACATATGGTTTTATTATGTTCACGACTGTGTACAAACTTACCAGGAAGCAAAGATTCCTGCTAATAAGAGCAGCTTCTCATTCCTGGTCTTTTATCGTGTATGTTTATCTCTTTGACAAGATCAGTGTGATTTTTATGCACTTTTATAAATCAGTGTTGCTGCATTTTCACTGGGGTACCACTGTTATTTTTTTCATTTATCATCTTTTTTTAAAATTGTTTTAATGTTCCTGAGGAAATCTGGGTAGATCCAGGTAGATCTCTAAATAGTTATTTCCTTGATCTTGTTTCCTTTCCTGTTTTAGAGTTGATCTCCCAGGCGACCAGATCACTAAAGTAACATTGGGAAGGTTGCATTTCAGTGAAACAACGGCAAATAACATGAGAAAAAAGGGGAAGCCTAATCCTGACCAAAGGTATTGTTGGCCTGTGTGTGGGAAGTGGAAAAAAGAACATCTACTTTAGAGTGGAGCTGAAGTGTGTTAAAAATCTCAGTGTTGCCAAATACTGTGATTTATTTGTTTCAAATTCTGTGATACTTCATATCTGCTTAAAGGCTTATCTTCTCGAGTCACAAAATGATATGAAAACAAACAAGTGAAAAAATAAAATACCTTCATCATTAAAGATCATTTCAGGAAATCCTAGCCAGTGTTGTTGGCTGAGATACTGAGGAAGCCAAATGACCCCATCCCAAATAACAGACATTTTCTTCTGGAGAAAGAGGATTCTTCATCTTTAAGTCTTCATTACTTAAATTTGTGACTTTTTTTTGGTTCATTTTCAGTGATTCGGGTGATTGAAAGAGCATATTACTTGAGAGTGGTACAAACATTTTCTCTTTCATCTTGTAACAAACATATTTTTGAAAATGTTCTGTCTCTCTTTTTATGTATCAGCAGTAGCAGTAGTGTTTAAAACATCTTATTTTCTTCTGTAACAAGGCATCATTTCATTTTTTTCTTCATTAAATCAATTTCAAATTAGATACTTCATGCTGGTGGTTGGACTGTATGCTGTCTCTCAGGATCAATTCTACTTGCTGTCTGCAAATGTCTCTGAAAAGATCATTGTAAGGGTAGGTAGAAATTTATATTACTTTCATGTTTACTGTTTTAATACCCACAGGAAACTATCAGGAGTGATTCTCCAATGTAAAAAAGAATTACCATTAAATAAGAAATATGGATAAAAAACACAAACAATTGCATATGTTATGAATAGATTGCTATCTTATAATTAACAGGATTTTAAAACATTAAAAGTGGGCTATAGAAGACTTTAAAAAGAAAGCTTGTTGTGAATACAGAGTATGTTGATTTTTCCAGATTGTTTTTCCTTTGAGGTTAAAGAGTTGCCTGTACTTGCTAGGAATTTGATAAATGCTTTCATTGGGTAAATACTTAATTTTCAAGGGACAATGAGAATTTAAAAAAAAAAAAAAAAGTGCAAGCAAAGAAGTAGCTCTGGGAAGATGAAGACTTATGACTGGCACTTTGCAGTGTGTCTGAGCTCTTAACTTGGTGGTTGTAATATATGTTTCAAAACAATAAATGTAAGAATTTGTCTCTCATCCTTATAACCTTTAGGTGGATAAGAGGTTTGAAAAATAAAGCTCTCCTTTTAATATTCAGCCTTAACCCAAAGTTAGAGCTAGACTTGGAAGAGACAAAAAACCCAGTGCTGTAATGTAACGGGGGCTATGGAGGGAAGGAGAGTGCTGTGGAAAGTCTTCAGTCCCAGCAAAGTTTTGTTTGGGCTTAAGCTAAATGCCGTGCAGGAACATAGCTCCTCCCTACAGTTTGGGTTAGGGTTCCAGTTGGGATTTAAAGGGAGAGGTAAAGTGGAAAGATGAAACATCAGTGGGGCTAGAAAGGGATTCCAGCTGAACATGAGAGCTGCTCAGAGCTTACAGGTGGGCTTTCTTTTGTGTGAGCCAAAGACAAAGGGTCTATGTTGTACCTGGGCACTATCTAGAGAAAGGGTTAGGGTCTGAAAAGTGAGAAAGTGCAGAGCTCCAGTGTGAGCTGGTTGGAGAAGGCCCTGCAAAGGGAAGGTTAGGGCTGCCAAAACATTTTTATTCTGGCCTGTTTTTCATGCAAATCATACATGGGAATCTGGGTAACTCCAGAAGAGTTAGAAAGATTTTAGAAATTTACATTTTTCTCAATTTTTAATGTTAGATTCTTTTAAAATTTCAATGAATAATGTTTATTTCAAATAATAATTTGAACAATGTGAGAGCACGGTTTTTTAACAGGAATCCAATGAATGGGACTTTGCAAACCTGCCCATTATTCCAGCCAAAGAAAAATAAGAAAAGCAGAAGGAACAACACTGGCTGTGATTTGAAGTAGTGAAAATGTCAGCAGGAAAGCTAGAGGAAAAAAAAAAAAAAAAGGCAGTTTTCCAGATGTCTGAAAGGGTTTTAGTGGGTGGCAGGGTAACATGAGCCAGCCACTGGTTCCTTTAAAGTGGCAAAGCTGTGCAAATGCACTGCGAGAGAAAGGGGCTCCTGTGCTGGCTCTTTACATACTGAAGTATAACATAACAAAACTACCAGCTGACCAGTGGTTATCAGGCATATCAGATCATGCTCTAATTGTGGCAAACAGTGATAAGAGCACAACATCATGCACTACAGATGTCAAAGCCTTGTGAAAACCCGAGACTCCTTCAAATGACTATGAACTTCTTGTCACAATTGTACTCTGCTCAGGCTGAAATTTGAAAGCCTGAATTCAAAGTAAAAAAAAAAAAAAAAAAAGTAAATAAATTGACTAAATTAATTACTGAAAACAAATGCCTTTTCTAATTATACACACTCCTTTGTTTTTTGGTATTCTTTGAAAGACTCTGGTTCTCTGATATGGAATTTCTTATGTGAATTAATTGTAAACATTATAGAGGATTTTAGAGACTGTGAATACATTTATTCTGGGATCCCTCAATGAAAATGACATTTGGTAAACCAGAGAGTCATCATTATTCGTTTGTCCAGATGGTGACCTCTCCAGGAACTGCTATTTATAGACTTTTCAGGTCTCTGGAATCTAGCAAACAGGTTTTGAATGCATCATACACTGTAGTATCTCAGTTGCCAAAAGCAAAACTCATTTGGTAACTGTAACTTGCAGAAATTGCTGTTAGAAGGTGCATTTGTTCCTGCCTATTTCATTATGCATTGTTTTCTACCAGTTCAAAACCACAAACAATTGAAAAAAACCCTCATTATTTAATTTTGGTTTTGAGGCATATCAGTAATACTTAAGCTGTTTAGAATGTCAAAAGACTTTTGATTCAGTGACTTCATTTTTGCATGTGTGTTTTATGGTGAAAATGCTCACAACAAGGTAAGTATTTCCTGGGCTATTGTTTGAGGTACATTTCATTTGGGGGCAGCACAGAATAAACCATGCTTGACTCATGTTTGTTCCTATCAGACTTCTTGCTCTTGTTACCACACTCCTCCTAAGTCATGCTGGTACAACTGTTTTTCTGGGGTCCTACAATTAACTGGAAAGGGGATGAATCTGTGTTAAAAACACGTCTATTTTTTTTGCTTGTTTGATTTTAAGTCAGGCTGGCTCCTCCATCCTGGTCTATGTCAGGGCATCAACTGAGGGCTGGCAGGTGGAGATGACTGATGGGGAGTGGGCTGCCTACACTGGTCCTGCTGTCAAAAGAAATGTGCATCAAACTATAGCCCTGGCAGATTTTGGATTCCTTTCCCTTTCTGCCCCTGTGCCACAGTTCTCAGTTCCCTCAGTAGTGCTGAGGTGATTGTCTGTGTGGCATTGCTGCAAAATGACTGCAGTAAATAGAAAAGGCCTGAAAAGAAAATCTCAGTCCTACAAAGCCCTATTCTTCCATGGTTGTGGCTTCCCAGCAAAAGTTTTGATGCTTGTGAAAAGGGAACGGGTAGGAGCAGTGGTCTCACTACCTCTTCCTATCTCCCTTCCTGCTCCTAGTTTTAATGTATCTGTTGTGGAGCAAGGCTCCACTGTACCAGATGCAGTGTAAACAGGGACAAAATGATCCCTTTCCACAAATGGTTTACAAATAAATTGGCAATTTACCATTTAGGTAATGTAGTTGGGCTTCTTTTTTCCACTTACTTGTTTTCAAGGGTTATTTCTAGAAACCTTCTATACATGACATTTATGATTTGGAGCATCTGTTTATGAGAACAGGACCTGTGAATTTAAACAAGATCATCTCTGATCCTCTCATCTGTTCAATACAGGATTTCGGTACATGTTGGAAAAGTTTATGAAACAGCATATAAAAGAATGAAACAAGTATGGCCAAAGCATGTAAAATTACATAAATATGTAAATATGTATTTTTGAACCACACGTGCTTAATCTCTGGATAGTTTTCTCTTTTCTAATTTCCAGCCTCAGCTCAAAGTTGCTGAAAAATTGAGGAAGGCTATATGGCATAAAGTCAAAGTTAAACTTTGAAAATCTTTGAACATTGATAATTTATCTTACTGTGGTAATAAAATAGAATCCAGGGGAAAGACCAATGAGGCCAGTGCTTTATGAGCAGAAACAATTACTTAGGATTGACTCCACTCTGTTTTTTTGTTAGCGTTTTAAAAAAAGCTCACAAATACAATTTAAATATTAAATATTTGTTATCTCATTTTCCCTGAATTGCTAATGGAATAAAGCAATAGTATATCTATGCTATGCTATCTTTAAATATATATATTTTTTCTCCCAGGCATCTAACCCAGGGCAGTTTGAGAATGACAGTGATGTACTGTGGCAGCGAGGACACGTTCCAGAGACGGTAGTCTATCACGGTCGAGTAGGAATTAACACAGATGCACCAGACGAAGCACTGGTTGTCTGCGGAAATGCAAAAGTTATGGGCAGAGTCATGCATCCATCTGACAGCCGAGCAAAAGAGAATATCCGGGAGGTGAGGGCTATGGAGTATTTAGGGCATTTATGTTTGCAACGCGGCACGTGTATGGATCATTGTTCTGACATGTGAAGCCGTGTCTTTATCTTGGGTGTGCTAAAATTCTGGCCTAAGGAAATGTGGCATACCAGAGTGCTCTGTACAGCCATGGCCTGTGGCCTTTGGAAGAGGCTGACCACAGAAGCTGAGGGTAAATGTAAATGGGAGTTGTTGGGCTGGAGGGTCACTGGCAATGCAAATACAAACAGCACTCTGCTCGTGGGGAGTGGGAAGATTGTTCGTATTGTTTGATGCAAAGATTAGCCAAATGGCCATATTAGGCTTGTTGCTATGTCAGTGGAGTCCTAGATGCCACAATCATTCTTAACGTCTCAACACGTGAATCTTCGTATTTGCCCAACTAGGTTGATACGAATGAGCAGTTGAAAAGAATAACACAAATGAGGCTGGTGGAGTACGACTACAAGCCTGAATTTGCATCTGTTATGGGAATAAAAAATACCCATGAAACAGGTATTCAGTCAGTTCTATTCCCATTTTTTGTTTACTTTTGCTGTTGTTCATTGTGCCCTAGTGACTTTTAACACCCTGCTGTTTCATTTTCATTTCTAGTGTACTTCAATTGCTTATTTTGCTGTGTTTGTCTTGCTAGTTGAAGGTGCCAAAATAAGACATTTCTGGTATATTTCCAAATTCTATTTCAATTATCAAAGGTAGAAGATGATTTTTCAAGGTTTAATAAGAATGAAGTACATGATCAGAAACAATTTTGTTCTTATGGCAGAGAAATGGGAAGGAAACTTTCAAGGTTTCTGTTTGTTTTCTGTAGAGTAGAAAAAAAAAAAAGTGAAATCCTGGATTTTCCTATCACAGAGAAATTCTAGAACATATTTGGCCCTACCTGTACCTTTTAGGGTTGAGAACTCAACAATGGTCAATGGTACATCACTACCTTTCCTGACTTTTGTTTCTGTTATCATGTGAACAGGAATAATAGCCCAGGAAGTGAAGGAGCTTTTACCTGAGGCTGTTAGAGAAGCTGGAGATGTTGCTTGTAATGATGGAGAAAAAATAGAAAACTTCCTCATGGTTGACAAGGTATGGCCTTGAGAGGGAAAGTGGAGGTGCATGTTTAGATGTTTCCTTTTGTGTGTGGAGCTATAAACACATGCTGTGCTTTATACAAAGATGTAGGCCTGCATGTGGTATTTGCAAAAGTAGCCTTTGTCAAATCATTGAGGACAACTGAACCATCAGGTGTTAGTAAATGGCTGAATCTTTCAAAGACAGGAAGTATTTACACTGAAATCTTACAATCATTACAGTTGGAGAAGACCTTCAAGATCGTCTGGTCAAATGACCATACAACAGCAGACAAAAGGCAAAAAACTTCAGATTTGCTTAATAAAGTTGGATAGTGATTTCATAGCACAGGGCCAACAAGTGATGCCCAAACATCCAAAACATTCTTTTAATTTCAGTGTTGAAGTTAATTAAATGCACCAGAAATGAGTTAAGCAATTATAACATTCCATTTGTTAAATAAAAATGTCCTTATTCTAAACCTCTGTGTAATCACTTCACACCAAAGGCAAATGTTAATTGTGTGTGCTCTGTGGGATTTTTTTTTTTTTTGTCTATCTGAAATATTTATTATAACTTCAAAGTTATAGTACTGTAACATGTTTATGGTGCACAGAGTAATTGCCATGCTAATAGGTTGGAATCAGTGCCTTAGTCCATTGTCCTGTGCTCTCTTTCCCTACTTTTTCTGTAGAAATAGGACTGCAAGGGGCTGTCAGTCAGAGTCCAGTCACACTTGACCGCTGACATCACTTGTCCAGAACATTGCTCAGAGTGGCCCCTCTGTTTTGCACTGGTTCACTGCAGGTCAGGGCCCACTTCCCAGCCTTATACCACTGACAGCTGATAATGGAAAGAGGGAGGTTTTCCAGATGGGTGACCTGTCTTGCTTGGATGATGTCACGAACAAGATTCTTTATTCATTATAATCATTCATTTTCTCATTATTCTGTAGAAAACACAAGTTTACACCTACAAGCTTCAAGAACGTATTTATCAAAATTTACTTCATACAAAGGTCTCATGAATTAAACACCTTGAATAAAGCTGTGGAAAGAGCATTTTCATGAACATCTCAGCATTCATGTTACCCATGTGAATAATTTCAGTTTTCAGATGGCTTACAGGAAAATAGTAGTTTGATGACAGTGACAGAAAACTTACTCTGTATCCTGCTCGTTGTAGCTTATAGCTCTCACTGCTTCCCTGTGGGTGTGCTGGAAGTGGTAGTAGGGTCTTTTTGTTGTCAGTCAGTGTGTGAATACGGGTCAGGGGAGGTGTGGAGAACAGCCAAGAAAAGTCAGACCATTGCCTAGCCCACTTTTTCTCCTCTCTTTAGGGGTTCAGACTGTTTTTCATCCTTCAGTTCCATCTGCTACTTAAAGGACATTCTACTTTCATGCTGACTAAGCATGACAAGGTTTACCTCCTGCAAGACGAACAAATGGGCTTTGTCTGCTTGAACAGAGGATAGGGGCTTTCTGGAGACAGTGTTGAAAAAGAGATGTAGAAAATTTGCTCTATTTGGTCAGAGTTCCAGCTGATTTTTAGATTGTTATAGAAGAGCACTGGTGTTAGATACTAACATTAGGCTTATTTTGCCTTTTAGCCCTTCGTTTTACATTGTGTAAGAGCTGAAACATTGTTTGCATTTTTTGAGTCCCAGAAAAGTGCTTTGGGGTAGTCAGTTTTTGTTGTTGTTGTTTTCCTGACAAAACGTTTAGGTTGGACAATTGAGCTTTTGATTTAATGGGAAAATAAGCTGCAAAACATATCTGATAGAAATCTTTCTCTCTCTTTTTTTTTTTCTTTTTCTTTTTTTTCTGAAGTGTCACACAACACACTGTTTGTAACAGTGCCTCATAGCTCTGCCATTTGGGCTTGTCATGTTGCCTTTCTCCTCTGTAGCTTGGCACTAGGCAGTGCCTACCAGAATTTGACCCAGTGATGTGACCTAGCCTACTGATAGAGATGGAGAAAGCCTCCTGCACCCTGCAGGGTGTCATTCTGCTATGGATGTGGCCCAAGCAGGAATGAGTCGTTACAGTGATGGCGTATTTACTACGTAGCTTTTCCTTGACTACTTGGCCAAATGTGGAATCACTTCACAAACACTTTGCTCCTGGGTTAATAAGGTTAGGTAAATTACTGCAGTGCTATCTTGCTTTCTGCTCTTGTTCCTAACATCTGTTACAGAGCATGTGAATATCAATTCTGTGACATTGGTGAGGGGGACAGGGGCAGGAGAGAGATCTGTGTCTAACACATCAAGGTGTATATTGAATTCAGAGCTTTGGGACAAATGATATCTTAGGTGGAATATCTGCTCCAAATACCTTGAGCTCTCATCGTCAGAATAGCTCAGTCCCTAAAGTAATAAAATTATATGTTGGTGACAGTGCTTTATATCTTTGCCTTCAGTCAGGCAGGTGATAAGGCCTTGAACTATTTTATCTTGCATTCCAACTTTAGTTCAAGATAAGCATGATATTGGCTGGTGTGGTTGTGTCTCTTTGTCTGTTACCTGTGTGGTGCTGTTAAACTCAGTAAAACTAATTGATTTCATTAGAAGTTTGGACCAGGTTCTGCTATATTCTAGGGAACTCTATTAACTGGGTGAAAATTTGCTATTTTGGGACATGAATCTTTCTTCTCAGCCACACAGTGCTGAGTATTTTGTCATCAATGAGGCAGTACAACTCTAATCAGTCCATTTTTTTTTTCCCCAAAGAAAGTATTCCTTCATTTTTCCAGGTGAGCCATTTTCTCATTTACCTGAAGTCACCTAGAAGAAATTCGCACCTGATTTGACAAGAATGGAAAGGGTGGCTGCTAAGTACCACTGATATGAGGATGAGTGACCATAAAATTGATTTCATGGTTCTAGGCACACGTGGTTATTTTGAAGTCACTCCTTAGTAAACAGGACATTGATCTTCTGGCGGTAGAGAAGTTTGCAACCTACCACCAGTACATGTGCTCTGGCTCTCTTTATACAAAGTGCTGTCTGTTTTTGTGGAAGGTAGTCACCTTTAAAAGAAAGACGTGGTATTTACAAGGAGAATGGCAAAGCTGCTTTTGTTGTAGTTGTCCATGGTTTGAATAGGTTGGGCTGTTCAGCAACATTAAATGCCAGTAACAGCTTCATGCAAGGTAGCATCCAATAGCTGAAGTGTGTTTTTTGTTAGTATGATGAGAAAGCTGTTCTTCCAAGCACAGCAATGAAAGCATGCTGTTACCGTGTTCCTGCAGTGGGTCAGTAACTATTTTTGGCTCAGAAATGGGTAAAATCCTTATTACCTGGATGGATGTACCGAGGACTTCTCCAGCAGCAGGTTAATACCTATATGATAATCAGAGGGTAGAACAGAAGGTTTTTCCGTGTGCTGAGCAAAATATTCTCATAGAGAAAATGGACTGTGTCTGAACTGTGTTCATTGCAGAGCTAATCACACAGTATTAGGACTTAAAAGAGTCCTTTAAGGTACTAGAGAAGCTGAAGCATCTGGCCATCACAGCTTGACTTTCTGGTTTGGATCTTTCCCCGTCTCACTGATTCCTGTATAGCTCAAGTTACGTGTGGGACATAGATAGCAATTCTGGCTTGTCTCAGCCAGGTTAGTCTATCCTGGAGGTAAATAGTTGGAGATACATTTTGATAGGGGGTTTTGAAATCAACGTAACAACTGCAACACTACAAATCAAATAGTAGATGCTTGCTGTGACATCTTTAATGTTCAGAATTCAGCACAGTATAAGTTCAAAATGCAGTTTAAATTCTTGGTCTACAAAGCCCTTTAGCTTGTTCATTTCTTTTTCTGCAAATCCTCGTTTTCAATTTACTGCAAATTGAACACAAGCAATTTTACAATCTAGCCAAGGGATTTTATAGCCAAAGTGACCTCCCATTTACCGTGAGTTAACTTGTGTTAGCATTTTAAATATTCAGCGTGTCCTTCCATAGGTGAATTCTGTATGCATTACTGCTTGTTGCATCTGATTGATTAATGTACTGTATCTGCTTCTGTCATTGTTTTCCTTCTCAGGATCAGATCTTTATGGAGAATGTAGGTGCAGTAAAACAGCTTTGCAAACTAACCAACAACCTTGAAGTCAGAATAGAAGAACTGGAACAGTGGAATAGAAAACTGGCCAGGCTGAAAGGGATAAGCAGTGTAAAGTCCACAATCAGCGGAGGGAGCACGGTCAGGTATCTCTGCCTGGAACGTTCTCTGATAGTTGTCACAGAAATTAATGAAATGGTGTCTGTGGTAGAAATGAAAACTGATTTTGCTTGACAATTGAGTTCAGTTCATTTCCAGCATTAAAATTGTGCAAAAATGCAAAATGCTTATATATTTTTTTTAAGTCACTGACAACAGTAACATGTGAAATGGCTGTTAAATTGCAGTCATTTCTGTAGTTACTTCAGTTTCATAAATCAAGTCTAGGTTATGTCCAGTTACAGCCCTGCAGCCTGAAAATTAATGCTAAGAGAAAACTGCAGAGCTTCTTTGGCAATAAAGAATCTTCATTAGTACTTCAGTGGAAGTGATGGGCATTTCCTATTTCTAAACCATTTCCCAAGCTTTCTTTGAAATGAAATGTAGCATGTAATAGCATTGACCTGAATGAGTTAACTGGAGGCCTTTGTTCTTGCAAATGAATCTGATGACTCTTTTGTCTTTCTCTTTTTAAATGGTACCGTTGCAAAAGCAAATTACATTAACACCCTATTGAAAAATCTCTTTTTCATTTATTACTTACTGAAGCATTTGAATGTCAGGGAGATCTTCTCTCTTACAGCGGGTGTAGTCGAGCCACCAGTCTTTTGCCATCAAGAAAATCAGCCCAGCTAAAATCCAGCAAGGTGAGAAACTAAATATGTGAAATATGCTTATGAGAGAGTTTTTGTAAGTGCTGAAATATAGGTGAAAGTTTTCATGTTTCCAGAAAAATAAAAAAAATCCCTTAGGTAGAATTAGTTAGTATCATGCCAGAAGCTTAAACAGAACTGAAACAGAAAATATGTATGAGACACTTCTACTTTCTCTCTATACATTGTGTGTATGGGGCAGATCCATACCATGTAATGGTGTGCTGAGGAGGCCATCAGGAGGGAATTGTTGAGCCAGTTACTTTGCTCATGTGGTGCAGTGCAGCCTTACATGGAAATGTAAGTTTGGAAGTTCAGTTTGGAAATACACACAGTGGTAATTCTTTCTCAGCTTAGTTTCTTGGTGGAGTCTTTCTCTGTGGTTTGCTGTTTGCATCTTCCCTTTTGTTAATACTGTCTTTTAGGCGGTTAAGACATGAATAGGATGTCCTTGTTATTCCTGGATGAATACCTCTTGCCCATATTCTTGTATAGAAGGAAAAGAACCCTTTTAACAGGGACTGAATGAGTTAGGAATATCTGCTGGCCTTTTTCAGGACTGTCTTCCCGGGTTCTTTAAGGTGATTCAGTGCACATTTGCCAACCTTTCTTTTGCCAGTGCAAAGAGCAAGAGAAAATAACAGGTTGAATGTTCTTTGTTCTATAAGGACAATCAAATGCTCCATGATCTAAGATCATTCTGCTTGTTTGAAAAGTGCCTTTCTTCTGTATGAACACCGATACTTGGTTTATTATGGTCTAAACATATACTGAAAGGTGCTCATCTTTCAGATGTGGCCATTGCTTACAGAGTTCTTCATGTGATTTTAAAATACTCAAAGAGTATGAAAAAGGAAAGAGAGGAGCTGTTATTTTTATCCGTCCTTTCTTCCTGTGTAATGTTTGTGTCACCAGACTATCAACAATGTGCATCACTCTTACAATTTTAGGGAGCCTGCCATTACTTAAGTTTTTCTCTTTGGAAGTTGACCTCTGTATAAAAATGATGTGTATGGTTCCTCTGAAAGAAAAAAGATAAACTTTAAGTCTGACTAGTGTAGTACTTCTTAATCTACTAGTCATACCTTAGGTATATGCCACTTAATTTGACCAAATGTTTGTGTTTTTTTTTCTAGGTTTGTTTGTCAAAGAGGAAAAAGTCTTGTTCCAGGAATATTTTCCGGGTGACTATAATAGCTTTGGTTGCTATTATGGCACTATGGTAACAACTAATTATCAAAAGTTACCTTGTTTCTCCTCTCCCTTTTTAAATTATCAGAAAGATGAGTGAGATTTTTTTTCTTTTTCTTTTTTTTTTTCTTTTTTCTTTTTCCTCTCACACTTCCTATTCAAAGGACAAAATGTATTAAAATGAATAGTGAATATGCCTGGTAATATTGCAAAGTTGAAATAGTTTTAGAAAAGTGAGATATACATGTGGCACATGTACAACTAACCCCTGTCTATGTCAAAATCTATGGTGTACCTCAAGTGCACTCAGCAGCTCATACTACACCTGTAAAGCTGGACTCGTGATTTTTTATACAATTGTTCTGTGCCTAAGTTCAACTTCTGAAGTACAGAGTGATTCTGTTCTGTGAAAAGAAACTGAACTTTTCCCCAGTGTGGTGGGCAGTACTGTCACTCTAAAAGTTTAACTTGTGGCATTAGACTCATGGGAAGGAAACTACGCTTGGGACTTTGAGATTGCCATTTTCTGTTTCTAGTCCCCAAACCTGTGGCTCACAGTCTCTCCATGAACGGAATACTTTGAACTGGCATTGTGATTCTATTTGCAATGAAATAATTGATCATATTTTAAGTTGAATTTAGCTGTATGAAAGTACCTCTTCTAAATAATATTAAATTCAGTCAGAATTTTTCCCACTAAAGGGGGAGTGATCAGATAATTAACTTTTACATTACTGTATTTGGACAAAGTGTTGTCAGGGTGTCATTAGTACTATGTAACTTAAGAGATGGACGTAAATCTACAGAATAATTCTCTTTCTACAGTGCTTTGACAATATCGACCCTTTATGTGCTTAGCCTTCATGACAGACATTTTGAAAAACATCCTATTTCCAGGCAAGTATTTGAATTAATATCAATATTAGACTGCGGACCAATCTGTTTTGGTCTACAGCTGTGAAGTCTGTTTCTTAATAAGTTGTTTTTGCTTTTCTTCATCAGCGCTTCCACAAGTTCTGTTGTAATCTTTCCCTCTACCACTACAGCAGGTACTGTATCTCTGCTAGTTTGCATACATGTAGCAAGCTTTCAATTTCTATGCTATTATAAAATGATAATAGATACACAGCACTGGTGAGAATTATGTCTTTTTTTTTTTCTTTTTTTCTTCAGCATTGCAGAAAACCACAGTTTCTCAGAGCACGCAACCCATCAGCAGGATTCCTGAAGTGAATTTCTGTAGCATTTTGCCTTGTGACAAGGTCTATTGTTGTCCAATTTATCAACCAAACTTCAAATACCTAATCTATGAGAAAACTGATGCAGAAGAGAAACGTAAGTTGAAATGTGAATTTCTATTACTTGTTATTTGAATAAAGACTCTGTGAGGAGTGTGGAGAAAGGAGCAAGTATCTTTAAAGGTAGTTAGTTTTATAAGATAATGCCTAGTCCACAGCATTTCAGAACTGTTGATATAACTACTCATCACTCCTGTCAGTATGTTTTTGAAAAATCTGGCCTGGTTACTTCCAAGAGTTCTGGGTCCTAAAATGTTTTGTTAGGTGTCACTGTTCTTGATAGCTATTTATGGTAAATGATTTGATGTGAACCAGAAAGTCACTAATCCCTTTAATTAACCTTTGGTTACAATTGGCTGGGAATTGATTGGGCATAGCAGAGGGTGGATGAACATATTTAAAACAAAAAACAAAACACGTAGTAGTGTCACACTGTGGTGATACTGTATCTTTTCTGTGGGCAGAGACAGAAATTCAGCTACTGGAAGCCATAAAGCTTAGTTATAACTGCTCATTCAGACAGGGCTTTTGAGTAGAGAAACATTTGAAGGCAGAGCTCTCTGAAATAAATTACTTTAATAAATTCTTTCAGACATTGTCTGTGATATGATGTGTGTGTAATAGATGAGTAGGTGTATTGTTTACAACTTTTATAACAAGCTTTTTGTTTTATAACAAGCTTTTTGTTTTATAACAATAACTTTTATAACAAACTCTTTATAAAAAGAGTTTATACGTTTACATGAAGGTACGTACAAGTTTTTGCAGTCAGTATTCCTCAATCCGAGACCTTAATACTGTTGATGTCTAGAAGCAAGTGCTAGTGTTACTAAATCCAGCATTCATACTCTTCCTTTCTTGTCCTTGAGAATAATTCTTGCATCAACCACAGTTGACAAGTAAAGGTGAAATTGGGGATGGACACAGTTCAGCCTCTGAAGTACAGATTTCTACAAGGGCAGGCATTGCCAATTGCTGTGAAACTCTTGTCACGTGAACTGGTTCAGTGGGGTTTACTCACTGGCTGTTCTTTATACTGCAAAGTGCTGTTGTCTGTGGATGGGCTGCATGTTAGTGGTCCTTGTGATTCGTGTGATTAATGCTGCAGTAAGCCCCGTGGCAGACAAAGCTCAGTACAGTGCTTTCAGGAGGTCATATATCTAAGTGATTTGTATTGGTCTGAAACCTGAAAGAGTGTTGATTAATTAAAAAGACGTTAATCTCATTTACAAATGAGGGAACTGTAGACAGCTGAAAATGAAATATGAAAACATTCTATCCCCAGCTGGCTGCTTTTGATATTAGGTGGAAAGAGAAGATAAGAACAAACACAAAGCATTACATTCCCAAGGTCTTATGCTCCAAATAGCATTAAGTGTGGATCCAAGAGTGAAAAATCAACACAGTACACAAGCTACTGAAAGATTTCAGATCTGCACAAGTTTAATGAAGCTGAGTATGTCCCCAGACAGAAGGTAACAATGTCAATACAAAATCCAAACAGAAGGAAAGCCAACAAGCTGCTTAATGTAGCTGTAGCCAAGGTAAATGAAAAGGAAAATGTTTTTGAAAGAAAAAGCTGAACACTAAGTATGGGGAATAATCAAGATAAAAAGCGGGCATTTTAGGATCAGCTGATTAGTCTGATTCATGGAAAGCTAAAACTGTTTGAATTACATGCTAATTTATGAGTGCATTTTTGACAGACAGTTTATTGTTCTGCCATACTGGTGCAGGTGCAGACCACTACTGAGTGCACCTGTTGTAGACCCTTTGCATCTCAAATATGTTGAGGAAAAGACTGTTATCATAGAATCATTTAGGTTGGAAAAGACCTTCAAGATAATGTGGTCTAACCATCACCCTACCAGGAGTGTTCGAGAAGAAACAAAAGCATTCATTAGGAAGACAAATTTTATTAAGCAAAAATTCAGCACATTTTTATGTATTCTATCTTAATATAGCTGTTTTTCTTCATGCTCTATTTGTCATAAGAACTGGAATTTCTGAAGGATTTAGAGTTTTTAACTCCTATTGACTTCAGTGGAAATGAAGAGTGTGAATATCCTTCAGCATCTGGGCCTTGCATTGGCTTATGGGACAATGAAAATAGCAATATTCTGAACAGTACGGAAACAAGGAAAAATAAATGTCTGTACTGGTTACTGATTCAGTTTAAACAGATGAAATCTTAGTGAAGTAAATCTGTCTTTGTTCTAGTTTTTATACAAATTTATGATACCCATTTAACACTGTTCTTCCATCATCTGCTAAACCAAGAATCATAGTATTAAATGTTTAGTAAATTAGAATATGTAGTAAGTATACTTGCAAACACTTGCATAGCTGAAGCATTTCATCTACAGGGAGAACATCATTCTTTCAGTGAACAATCTTATGCTTTTACAATTGGATATAGGTTTTCCTACAGAATGGTTCTCTGTTAATGAAAATGCAAAATGTCAGGGAACAGTCCGTGCACTGTTATCACATCCAGACTATTAAAAGAAAAAAAAAAAAGAAAAAGGAAGAGACGGAAAGGAAGATATGACAACTACTTTGTAAATTAAAAGGAGGAATGAGGGAGTAAATAAGCCATTCTGAGACCCATCCCAGGACCCGCTGTGGATGTATATCTGATTGCCATGTGTCCAGAAGCCATTTTTCTGGGTGTGTGACTGCAGATCACAGTGTGAAGAAATGGGACAATAGTTGGCTGCTAACTGTAACAGTTACCATCTAAGTTGGTAGGACTGGAAGATCTGTATGATGAGCAAGTAAAATGGATGCAAGGAATAACCAGCAGTAGTATCACTAATTTATAACAAAACTCAAAACTGATGGAAATCTACATTTATTTATTTATTTATTTATTAAATTTTGTATTACTTCACTTCTAGGTACTCAGATTCCAGTTGTTAATTAATGTTGTTCCATGCTCTAAGTTACCTACTAGCATGAGAAAAGGCTGGATTTTCTTATTTCCCAATACCAAAATAAAAGGAAAGCCAATATCTCTAAAGATCAATGTCAGCCTTGCTGTCTTATTTCAGTATCAGTGGAATGATACATTTTGATCCTTACTTTTGGAAAATAATTTTTTATATAATGAAATAGTGAATTCTGTTCTAAACAGTTGTTTTGAAATCAGAATGTTTGCTTTGGAAAACGCGGGAATGGAGTTCTTCAGTGTTCTGTAAATACACAATCCCATTTTTTTCCCAAATAAAATGGTGTTTGATGAAGCAAGTTAGTTTAGGCAAAATAAACATTTCTTGGTGCCAGTTTATTGGTAACATTCCTCTAGACAGGTTCTTGGCTGTCAATTAACATAAAAGCACAAGATGAGCCTTAAACCATCTCCTGTGAGCTTGAAGGGCCTTTTGCTTTCCCCAGGTTGTACTGTGCGATGATTATTCAAAAGATACTCTAAAGTTCACTTTTCTAGACAAGTGCTGAGAAAATTAATAGAGTAAAAAATCCATCAACTTATATTTGACAGCCTAGTTCCGTGTTAGAAATTACAGAGATGACACAGTGAATGTGGTGATTATGTTGTTAGATTTCTGCATTAGTTTCTTTTGTTTGGTGACTCATCTCTCTGTGCCTGAAGCACCGTGTCTTGGGTCAGTCCTCAGTGTCTTACATCTCAAATTCAAAAAGCTAAGCTATTCCTCTGGCCTGTGTGTGCATGGCAGATGCCTACTTACTCATTTTCTGACTAATAAGACAGAGTGGCTTTATGACCAGAGTTGTGCTGAAGTGCCTGGCTGGATCTTGACTTTCACCCCGCCTTTCTGTTATAACAAGAGGTGATATTCTGTGTGGGGCATGAAATCTTTTCTAGTAGGCTATTTGTTTGAAATGTTTTAGATATCCTGTAAAATTTCAGAATCTTGTTTCTTGTTATCTACAGGTACCATTTGTCTGTAGTCTTCTGAGTAGAGGTGGTTTGCATTTTAAAGGTTTCTCTTGCTGGTTATGCATACCTTTATCCAAGAGATAATTAACATATCTTATGGACTTGTATTCATATTTTGCTGTTACAACTGTGCAAGGCTAACTTGGAGACTTTTGGATATACCTTATCTCATAGGAAACAAAAGTAACAAGTTACCTGGAAGAAAGCCAGACAAAATAGCTGATGGAAGACCTGATCTTGGAAACGACTGTAAGTCCCATATTATTTTTTTAACTGTTGAAATGTATAATTGTGTAACTTTGAAAGGCTGCCTTTAGACTTGCAATTCTGTTACTGGAATTTAGAGAAGTTTAAATTATAACTGGTCATTATAGGAAATTAGAGCTTAGGACTCTACTAAATACCTGAGGTTCACTGTAATTTTCTTGTCATTCCAATTTATTCTTGTATGTTTGTTAGGTTTTTGTAGACATTCTGGCTGCCCTCTCTCATGAGTTCTTAAACGTGGCTTCAGATGCAATAAAACAACAAATGTCATTTTTCTTCATGAGCTAAAACTATGCAAGGTGCTCAATACTGCTCTTAGACAGTAAAATGCTTAAGCATATGAGCATGGCATTTGTGTGCAGGAGATGCATGATAAGAGTGTAAAGGAAGTGCTTGGGGTTTGACCCAGTTGACCTAGTAGATACTAGGTCAACATCAGCTGCTGAAGGGGGACATCTCTGCCTTAGGATCCTGACACTACCTGTGTTAGTGGAGGTGAAAGAAGGTTCTTTGAGATGTGGCTCGACTTTGACTTCAGGCTCCCCTTTTGTTGACTGTGCATTGCCATTATGAACTGAAAAAACTTTTTTTTTTTTTTTCTTTTCTCCTTTTTTCTTTTTTCTTTTTTTTTTTCTCTTTTTTTTTTTTCCTTTTCTTTTTTCTTTTTTTCTTTTTCCTTTTTTCTTTTTTCTTTTTTCTTTTTTCTTTTTCCTTTTTTCTTTTTTTCTGTGAAGATGGGTTGCTGCTGATTACGTATCTTCTCAGGGCGTGTTCTGGCATTCATTCTGTATGAACAGAACTATACCTAATCTTTAATATTTTTGTGGATGCCCTAGTCTTTCTTCTGTTTGTTTAAAAAGGTTTGATTAAAGATCAGGCAATACATGATAAAACATCCATAAACTGACATGCACCTAAAGCAGGTTGTTACCTAGGGCCATGTGAGGAACAGAACACAGGTTCTGCTTGTTGCCTGGGTATGCCACCAGTGGGATGATCTTGGAACCATCATTCCTCTTCTGATTATTTTACAGTGGATACACACCTCAGAGTGGGACCTTTGCAGCATTGCTATGATGCATGTTTTAATGAGATGCTGTGTCACAGGGAAATGTTCTTCTGTGCTAGTTCTTTGAGACGAACACGCTCAATTTCCATCTGTTAATGAAGTGTACGTGTGGAGATTTGCATGGTGAAAGCTGAGTACATACTATCACACAGGTGTTTTATAATCAGAGCTCAGGTTAGCTGATAATCAAGTTCCTCTGCAGAACAGGGAACTGTTTTTGTAGAACAGAGGAACAAAACCACAAAACCAGCATTCCCAGTCCAGTGTAGACAGCAGGCTTAGGCCTGCTGAACCATGTCCTCCATGTGCTTTCTGCACCCCTTTGCCAGATTTGAAGTATCAGCACCTTGATACTTGAGGGAAAAGCTGGAGTCTGCCTAAAGCCTAGGCCCTCTTGGGAGATTAAACCAGTTCACCCCCTTCTCTTTCTGGACCTTCACAATTCAGACTGAAGAGACCCAACATAGGGGTCTGAGATGTTGCCTAATTATGCACCTACGCTGATCAGATGCTGTAGGTGTATCCAGAGGAAATAAGCTTTGCAGGATGCAGGGCAGTGCAGTGACTCCTAGGCCACCTGTGAAAGCAGAAGCTGTGCAGCTCTGCTTGCACACTGGTTTTTGCCACCTAACTCTCCACAGAGCTCACCTGCCTCAGGGAAGAGCCGTGTCGTTGTGGCTATTCTCTTCTGCTCACCATAACTAGGCACCTTAGAGAATACCTGCACGGCACAGAGATGCTGGCACAAGGTATCACAGGAAACAAGGTTCTTCCAGGTTCAGGATGTAAGCTTTAGGAAGTTATCAGTACAGTAGTGCTGTTATCAGCCTGTTAGTGCTGTTTGTAGTCCTTCCTATTGCCACTGTTTACTTTGGATCAAAGTGCATACATATTTTGGTTAGATGAGCCTATTTTGATTCATATTTTATGTTATTCTTATATGTAGAATATTACAGGTCTCTAAGAAGTTCTTGGAAGTCTTGGAGGTTAATGGCAGAATTTTATGAAGAAACTATAATATTCATCAGGGTTAGGTGTTTTTTTCTGCACACAAAATAAGAAGCAAGCTCCATTCCATATTATTTCTCTCAGCAAAGATATTGATTTTGAGATTAATAGTTGCTTGCATGCGTGTGGCTTCTAGTACATTAAAATGAATGTTGCCATGTTTGTATGCTACTTGGACTGCCATCAAAACAGCCTTCAATGTCTCCTCAGAAGAAAATATTACAGTATTAGGTGCCCACATATTTGTCTTCACGAATCCAACAAGCATTTTATCTCCCCTGTAACTGCAGAATGAAGGCAATCAACCAAAGGCTTTTTACTGAGAGCCAATTTAAACCTGTAGCAACTCCTGTAGTGGCAGGCAAGGGAGTAGCTGCCACTGTATTACCTGCAATTTTATTATACTCTTATTTAAGATTTAAGATTTCTGAAACAAACAAGAAGAAAATGTTATTTTTTATATTTTTAGGGATTGATACAACTATCAGTTCCATACAGATTTTGGAAACACAGCAACGCATTGACAGTCGCTATTGTAAAAACCCACAGTGCAGGTAGGTAAATTGTTTTATTATGCTTTATTAAACTGGAATAGAATACCATTAATGTGGCATGGCTACCTGGCTGTCTCTTCTCACAGTTGTTTACTGTCATGTGCATGCATTTTTCCTATCTCTAAATATTTTTTTTCTTTTTAAATTTAAATTCAATTTCCATGTTTTCTCAAATAAACTACCTATCTTTAAATCCTATGTGCATTAATATCACCTTTTTTAGGTCTGGAAATTACAGCTATCTTATTCCTGTTAACAAGTATACACCTGTGGATGTAGAAATCTCACTGGAAATCAAGTAAGTACAATTAAATATAATATACATTTTCCAAGATAGTGGCTCATTTTTATTATTATTATTTTTTAATACAAATTATTTGCTGATTTCTTTTGGGGTTAATCTCTGATAAAAGACAGTAATAACCGGAATAGCTGCCAAGGACTCTGCTTGATGACACTTCATGAATCCTGTCTCTTCAATACAGTGATCTGTGAAGTTATGTATGGCCTTTAGGTCCAGTCTTTTCATTTTGCATATTACCCTTGTAAACATCCTCCTTGTTTGGATAAGAGGAAATATAAAGTGCTCCTGAAGTGCCTGCTTATTTTCTACAACAACTGAAAATTTGCCTTTTGAGTGTATGCGATTATAAACCAGTAACACAACCCACCCATATAGGGTTTAATACATCATACTCAGAGTTTCACTGAAGTAGTTGCTGAATTTATGTTGAATATTGGTTTGTGGTTTAGGGGGAGGGAGATTTTCAATCTGTCTTATACTCTTCTCAGAAAAGCCATCTGGGAAGATAGGAAATGCTTGACACTCTCTAGGGATAGTTTGGAGAAGGTATGACCACAGGGTCTTTGCAATTGAAGAATTCTGAATGAAATTCTATTTATCAATGTGTTCCCAGACAAAGGGATTTTTCTACTTCTTTTTAATGACATATTTGCATGTGTACAGTGACAAATGGGAGCTATTTATATAGATAGGTACCTGTCTGAAGGCTTATTGTGGGTTCATCTTTCATAAGGTTGTCTGCTGTTGTGTTTAGATGCCCACATACCCTCTGGCATAGGCACGATATGCCTATGTATGATGTAAGCCGTGCAATTCAAGCATGTCATGACCATTCATTTGTACAAAAAGCCAAATACGATAGTTGCTAGTATGAATGTGCTTAAAGTTTGAGGAAGTTTACTGTATTTTCTAGATTTATCTTAACAGCTGCAAAGACCACCCAGGTTTCCAAATAAAAAAGCTTCCTCTTTTCAGGGGAGGGAGTGGCACAAGTTTAGAGGTTGGTGTCTCAGGTTTCTTCATATTAACTAGTGAAGTAAGTTCCTCTGCTTTTTTTTTTTTCTCCACAATTCAAGTCTTTGGAATTTTTCTTTGTGTTTATATTGTATTATATCTATGGTTCTTCTATTTAAGAGCAATGGGATAGATCCTTGTTTTTCTTTTTTCTTGAAGCACCACAGAACCATTAATTGTATTTCTCTGCAAAGTTACATTTGGAAATTATTGCTCCTATTATTCTTCAAGACAAAGCAATGGGAAAGATTTCTTAGAAACCACACAGGTAATACATTTTCAGCAATACTCTGGCTTGGGGGGATCATTTTTATATACTGCCCGCTACATGGCTGTTTTTTCATCTCTTACATGAAAGGTACTGTGCTGTTTGAAAACAGCATATAGGAAAAAGTGTTCAGCTTTCTGACAGGTTTGGCTGCTGAAGCCATACAGTGCTGAAATAATCTGTGATTAACTTTCACCTCTCTCCTTGCCCTCCAGAATGTTGTTTCCTTCTATTAGATTTATTTGTTTTTCATAAAAGCTTCAGAATCTCCTAGCTAAAAATGTCATGATCCCTTGATTCAAGCAACATTGTGTGGATGCATTCTGGAGTAGAGGGAGATGTAGAAGGTAGAAAAGACTCGTCATAATATCTAGTTGTACTGGATAGTCTTACACACCACCGATTGTAAGAAATGAATGAAGTGATAAAGAGACACCATGAAGATCTTAATGTCCAATGTCTGGAAAGGAGGATAGCTGATGACAACTAGTCAAGTTGGCCTTATCAATAGTACATTTAGGGTCCACCATGAGAACCTGACTCATAAAATTAATGGCTGCAAAATTCTGATCTTGGTTAAAGCAGTAGAAATTGAAATAATACATTGAGTCTACCAGTCCTGGCTAGTTTTGGCATGGCCCTAATGAGATAACTAGGATGCAGTCTTCCTGAAGAAGTAAATTTTCTACTGAAATTTATAAAAATCTGACTAGTGACTCTCTACAATGATAGTTTTGAGCCTATTCCAGCCTAACTCACCACTATAACATGCTATAACTCCAGAGATAGTCAAGAAATAGGAGTATTTTTCACCCATGGCCTTAGGATTTCTCCAGACTTAGTGGTACTTTTCCATTACTGTCTTAAGGGTAGTGAATTACAATTTTTAAGCCTTGAATTCCCTGAAAACAATAGTAGTTTTCCCCTTTATTTCTGTGCAAACAGGAGTTTACCAATAAATCTCTCTAGGGAAAGATCTTCCATGTAAAAGCAAGAGATATTTTCATTTCATTCCTTCGATCATCTAGATGGGAATAATAGCTGTAAAAACATGTTAGCTTTTCCCAGGCAAGCTGAGCTTGCAAACTTTTCCCAGCAAATTGATGAAGACCTTAAATGCCTTTCCAATTCTCTGGAAATATAAGACACTTTCATGTGACCAGGTCCTCGGATTTATCTACATTGATTGGAAATGTTTATTCTGGCTAAAACAGTGGGAAAGGCAGAAGCAAGCACAGTAGCATTTCCCCTACGCATTGTAGGAGAAACCTCTGTGAAGATGAAGTCATTTCACTGTCTTTAGATTTCTGATCTATGGTACCACACATGATAAGTTCTTAATTCTTTTAAATTACTTTTTTTGCTGCTTTGACAAATTAGAGCTGTTGGGGTACCTTTGTCCTTAAGTTGACTTTCTGATAAACTCTTCAAATGTCTTTCCAAAAAGTTACAGGCTTCTCTGCAGCTGCTGCAAAGCTGTCAGACTGCAGTAAATAAGTTGTCCAAGTTTTGACCTGTCTGCCGTAATTCTAACAGTTTTTAATATTAAGTCAGACCTAGGGAGTTTTCTCATGCAGAAGTATTCTTCAAGCTTACTGCCAAAAGTGGTCAAAGAGATTTCCTGTGTCAACCTGAAATCTACATCAAAAGACTAAAGCTCACTAGCCTCCAGCAGCAGTAAGCATTCAAGTTTGACATGACTCGGAATAGAAATGCTGCCTGGTTGGATAATTCTTTTCAAGAAGATTTTCCTAAAGACTGGAAGGCTTATTCCTTACCAAAGGGCAGGATGGCAATCATTTAGACTCTGAGCAATTCTCATGTAAGTCTTATCATGTGAGCATACCATCTCCAACAGAGAGAATGTGTCAGAAAGTGGAGGGAGGAAGGAAAGATGAAGGAGGCACTAGGAACTGATGAAATAAAAGTTATCATGGGCAGACCAAAATGGATCATTAGGTCAACAAGAGGTGAGGACTGAATTTTATTCAATGTAGCATAAAAATTTCAGATACAAAACATATTTTTTCATTTGTACATGACAGGTCACTGCAGTCAAAAGCACAATGAAATCTTTCCTGCAGCTGTTTTTGAAATACTGAGTAAAAATGCCACTTGTATCTTCAGAATATACAGAGGAACTTTCACTGCCTGCTGAGGACTGCTAATGTCACTGTTTCAAAGAAAAGCAGCATTGCAATTTGCTGCCGTTACACCTCAAAGCTTTTGGGCCACCTGGCACATCAGGGACAATCTCTACTTGCAGTGGCATTTGCTTGGAAAATGAGAGCGAGAGAGTTATTCAGAGCCAGCTGTGAGCTGCTGGGAGCCAGATGTCTGTCAGTTCCTCCGCAAGGCTGATCAGAGCAAACCCCCAGTTGCAAGGTTTAAAGTCAGCACTTTGTCTTTAAATGCTCTGACTCTAGCTTTCAAGTCTTGTTATCGTAATTACTTTGCACCGCATTTATCAATGAAATGTTTCCACAGCCTATCCCTCTCTCCGACTGAATGTGAAATAAGGTTATCTAATCTCTCTCTCTCATTTATCATCTAGGGACGTCAGCATATTTGGACTCTGCCTGTGGCTAGGCTGTATGACAGCGCATACTACTTCCGTGTAGCCGCACCGGTAAGCCCTTTTCGGATGGGAACACGGCAAAAGACAAGTACCATTGGAGCTGACAGAAGGTCTTACATGAATCTCCTTTATTTTTTCTTCTGCAGGGTTTTGCAAGCTGCTCCACAGATCCTTATTTTGCTGGAATGTTTTTTACTGATTACTACTTCTATTTTTATCGGCAGTGCAACTAAAATGTTGCCAATAGTTCTGTTCTCAGGGAAAAAAACAACAATGAAGCTCTTGATATGAAAAAGAGACTGATGTATGGCCCTGTATTTTGTAAAGCTTTTACCAAGATGTATGACATTTTCTTGTTTGTTTTGCTTTTAAACTAAAAAAAAAAAAAAGAAGAAAAATAAAATGTTGTTCAACCACAAGCATGGTTCTGCATTTCCAGGAACTGTTTCTAAAAGGACATGAGACAACTGAACACATGATGTGTAAACAAGTAATCTCATTGATCTTAGTGAAGTGGCATGATATTGTACATACAACAGAATAAAAAAAAAAAAAGAAGAAAATAGAAGGGGGTAGGAGCTCTGCTGAGCTGGGATATACTCTAGTCTTCAGAAGATGGTAAGATAATAAAATATTATTTGCAGTCAGGAGACCTGCAGACCTTTACTTTCTCTTAGTAACTGCTGCCCTTTGTTTGTATATAAATCCACTTCTTTTCCAAACAAAACCAAGAGCAAACAAAACTTCCAGAGAGAAGTGAAGCACTGTGCAAGTGCCCTCTAAAATAAGTGCTGTAAACTGGGGAACTGCAGTTCAGTTCCCGTGTTTGTATTTCCATTTCAGAAAGTAGTACCATCATTACTATTACGATTGTGCAACTTAATGATGCAGCTGCTGTTTGTGTGAGATGTGTTTCAGCTACTTTTTTTTTTTTTTTAAACTCTACAGCAGAAGGAAGTATTTACTCCTAATTTCAAGTTATTTCTTTCTTGGTGGTTGTGATTTGTGCTAATGTGATGAAAGAAGAGAAAGAGTTGAGAAGAAGAATGTCTTGCCTGCACAGCTTTGTAAGATGAATGTGGATACACACTTGCATAGGAGAAATCTTTCTGCTTACATTGAGGAAATATATTTTTAAGGCAAAGCTATTTGAATGAAATTTGAAATTACTTGCTCAGACAAAAGGAGCACAGATGTAATAACCAAGTGCATTATAAATAGCATCATGAGGCATTTCTAGAACAATCATTCATTTTGTGTAGAGAAGAGAAAGTAAATATAATGGAGAGACTGTAGGCTTTCAAAGATTTATAATGTAGAAGTTAACATGTGAACAACCTTACTCTGAATGAAATTCTTTATTTAGCAGTGGAAGGGAAGCATTAGGAAGGAAAATTAATCTCTAAATATGAACTGACCACAGTCTTTGTAAACACCCATGTGTCTTAATTGTGCATTTCTTGCCTGACAATGAAATGGTAGAGTTTAATTTGTTTCTGTGGCTTCATTTGGCATTTCTTTTGTCACTGTTTCTGGATTTCCTTTAACTGATTTCCTTTAACCTTCTTACTGTCTTACTGTTTTTTTTTAGACTTATGTATTTCTGTTGAGGTTATCTGCAGTGTCCCAGTGTCCTTGGTCCTTGTCTTTGGGTTGTGGCTTTTTTTTTTTTTTTTTTTTTTTTTTCCTTATATGACTCACTGCATTGACCTTAACCCTTAAACTCTTTTTTTTTTTTTTTTTAGCCTGGTAAGTATTTATAATGTAGGTGACATGTTCTGCAAGATCCCAGAGACTAACTGTACTTTTAACTCCACATCCCACTCCACATCCCAAAGCATCATAAATTTGTGTGTAAAAGTGTTAAAGTGTTGCCGGGTCCCAGATGATCATGCATGTGCATTTTGAACAAAAATAGTACATTTCTAGACCCACTTGTTCTTCGTCACACTGTTTTGGGTTGAAATACTCTTCTCAGTGGCACAGAGCACTGATGCAGGAGAATATAAGCTCCCAGTATTTCCTGTCATCAAAACACTTCCTGCGATTACAGTCTGGGGTGAGATGCATGTGGGGCAGCAAATATTTTCTTTGTGAGAAAACGAGCAATGATTTTATTACAAATTACTTTGCCAGTTCAAAAATTTTCAGCTCCTTCTTTATTCCTGTCAAATGTTTTTGGTAAGGTACTCTTGAAGATTTTATTCAGATTTCAGATGACAAGCTGTTGCACAAAGGCTATGTTCCAACACACCCGAGGTAACAAAAATCCACCTTGGCAAGAGCTAGGGAGGAACTGGCACAAATGAAATACTTGGCACTGAAAAACTGTGATTAATAGTATTCAGGCTCCTGAGAAAATCTGTGAGTGACAATGAGCTGACAGACTTTTTAAATGACATGACATATTGACAGTAGTGTTTTGATCATTTTGAATGGGGATCAGATGGCTTCTGTCCCTTTGTGACATTAATTATATTGTAGTGGGGTTACCTCTGAATAAGTTAATGGATTGGAGGGGGGCAGGAGGAAATAACTGTAACAGAACCTCGAGCACCCCTGAACATGTTCTGTTTTTTCCATCTAGAAGTTTAGTCTAGTTAGAAAAGCTTTGTTATTTGCTTGGTATTTCTGTATGACCAGCAGCTGTCTCTGTGCATGTACAGTTTAGCATATACTCCGGGCCCAAAGTGCAAGAGAAGACACCCAATGCATGTGGTTTGTCCTGTACTTGCATTACGGCTCCTTGGTGTCAGTCACCCAGGCAGCTGGCCACCTGGGAAATCCCAGAAACTTTTAATTCTCCTTCCCCTTTGATAACGTTTTCAGAATACTTTGCGTTGCCCAGGCAAGTGCTGGCTGCTGCACAGTGCATGTGCAGCAGATTTGGCAAGCCCACGGAGTGCCAGCCCCCCAGATACACAGATGTACATGTCCAGGTTCAGTCCATTTCTGCAGGTAAATATGGGAACCCCAGGAATGTCTCTCACTCCTGTATCTGCTGAGCCCTCACTTCCCTGAGCCTGGGGAGGTGCAGTTCATCTGGACACCACTGACGGTGACATTCTCGCCCTCGTGCACGCAGTCCTTCTGCCTTATACAATGCTGAGCTAGGGCTACCATGGAATACCCTGGGGAAAACGTGGCCAGCAGCATTTTCCTTCCTGAACAACTTAAGGAAGTACAGATTGATTTTTCCAAGTGAAAAACATGGTTCTGAAACACTCAAGGGTCTCAGTTGTTTTTCTGCCATTTCTGTTTTCTCAGTGATAAAGTTGCAACAGATGTTAATAGTGGTAATTACAATGCAATTTGAAGCAGATTTTGTGAGTAACAAGTTATGAAAGTTTTATGTATGTTCTCTCTGGAACAAGAAACCCCCCTTCCCTTATCTCTTTTAGCACAGTGTGGCTGAGTTGTAGAGACCCCCAGACATCAACAGTACGTTTTCACCTAACTTCAAAGGGAGCTGAGGCAAAGCAAACTTCCAGCTGTAAGCTGCAGGAGGCAAAGACAGACCTAGAATAGGGTGATCTGGTACCAGCTGAGCTTGATTTCAAACCATGCTGTTCATACCAAGAACATGATATAACAATTCACATTTTTACTTGATTTTAACACACACCACGTACCCTGGCTTATGGTCAGTTTATCTAGCAGTGGCACTTTAATCAAGAGCTGAGCAAACACTTGAAATCTCTTGAAAGCCCAGTACACTAAGAGAAGAGGCCCCAAAGGGATAAAACTGGATGGTCCCCCGTGGAAACCAAGTACAAGGCAGAAGAGCAGAGTGAGTGACTCTGTGGTGAAAGTCCACAGCTGGGAAGGTGGATAAGGCCGTGTTGTGTACAAGCACAACCGAAGCTGAAGCTGTGTGCAGCTGTGAGCAAAGGAGCATTTTGCTTTCTGCCCGCAGCTCAGTTCCCATAAAACAACTCCCTCTTTCATTTGAGAGAGGCCTGGTAAGCAGAGAGGAGTGCTCCTGTTGCCCTGGTCAGATGATGTGAGCCTATTGTGAGAAGCGAGAAGTCTACAAGCTGAGTTTGGAGTCCTGCGCAGCACAGGTCTGAAGGAAGACCTGAAGTTTTTCATAAAGTCTTCCCTATCTACATTTTTCTAGGATCATAACTTGCTTTCTAGAATCAGAAGAATATTTGCCTTAAGAATTGTTAGCAGGTTAAATTCTACCCACTGAGTAAGAAGTTGCTCACTCAGGAATCATTCACTTAGCTTACAAATCGATTGCATTGATGGAACCTGAGACAATCCAACCTAAAATTAAAAATGGCTTTATATCACATTTACTCTTGCTCTCTCCATTGAACTGAGTGTTAGAGTACCATAAAAATGAGTTCAATTCACTTAATGTCTGAGCTAAACTGTGCTACAAAGAAACTAAATTTCCTACAGCTTTGTGTCCTGTATCCTGACAGTGTAGCACTGCAAAAATCCCAGCCATTCTGCTGCCTTGCACAGATCTTTCAGCCACATAATGTTGGCTTCCTCCCACCTTCAAGGTGCCCTGGAGAGGGCTGTGTTATGTCTAACTTTAGCTTTTCAGTTTGAACGCTTCGGTCTTGGTACATTAACTCAAAATTATTGTTCAGCTTGCACATAGCTGTCTCCTACAGAGATGTTTCTTCTGCAAAAGTGTGAACATATATATATATATATATATTTTTTTTTTTTCTTGATTGGAAGAAACAGTTTTTACTGTTAAGTTTCAACACCCCCTCTCCCTTGCACATGCACAGTATATATATATATATATATGTATATATTTCTAATCTGATAGGGGTGCATTTGCTCACTATGGAATGAATAATTCCAATTAACATTTGCAAGCCACCAAATAATACGTGCAGTGGCAGCTGCTGGCTATGTCCCATGCTCTCAGAATCACTTGGCTGAGAGGAGAGTGCTTTCTAAGGAAAGGTCAAGGCACAAGCATGTCCCAGTCCCAGTCCTAGGGTCTGCAGCCCCTCCTGCTCAGGGTGGTCTTGGGCAGCTGCGTAGCCTGGCCTGAGCTGTTCCTGGAGCAGTGCCAGGCACGGGGCTTGCTTGGGCACAAACAGAGTGGCAGTGAGGTTCAAGAGGTGTTCGGGCACTTTGGTCAGCCCCAGCATGTCTTGTGTAGGTTAAAGAAAGAAAAAAAATTACTTCACTCACAGCGCTTCAGGCAGGCTCATGAATACAGCCTCCTCTGCCTGCTGCAGCTCCCCAAATAGCATGTTTTCTGTCAAAATCGCACTCGAGCGAACATTTTCAGCACACATACAAGCCCCACGTTCAAAATACTCGTTTTCACACTGGCAATCCTGACCCAATTTTAACCTCGGTTGCTATGGCGCTGGTGCAGGCCGGGCGGTCGGCGCGGCGGGGCTAAGTGGCGATGGTGCGTACATTCGCCTTTTGTTAC